CAGTTTCTCCTGTCATTTTTTTCACATTTCGTGTTCCTTTTTCTCGAAGTTGCGTTCGTCTGCACTCGGGGGTGCCGAACTTGAACGTTGGGTTATTTTTCGCCATTTTTTTATTGAGTCTTTTTTCTTTTGGGGGGGGGGGGGGGGGGGGTCAGGCTTCCCGCCTGTGTGTATGATTGTTTCCTACTATGCGATCCCCTGGAGCCTTACTCTAGGGTTTTGGCCCTTGTGCCTTTTTCCTGACAGAAACCAACGTTTGCTTTTTATTGTGTTTTTAGTTTGCTTGTCCAGGTGAAAGCCCTTGTCTACATCTGTTATCGTGTTGGGTTCACTCGTGGAGCCCTTATGGTCCGAGAAATTTGCCAAAGAGCCGCATTCTAATAAAGCTGGGATTTGTTTGAAGCACATTTATTTATTTGGTGAGTAATCAGCCATTGTCAGCATTTTTGGTACTAACCTTATGTCGGGGAAGAACTTATCTCTTTTCTTGTGGATATGGTCCTTCTGATCGATCTCTAGGGCTTATTGTTGTCTGAAAACGTTTTGGTGTTTATTCATTTCCGATATTGCTTAAATTTATAACCTCGTTCTTGTACTAACTTAGCTGTGATACAACTTCAGTACCGATTTTTGTGTGAAGCTTAGATAAATCGTTCTTTCTTTCTCTAGTTTGAATCGTCATTTTTTTGCTGAGATTGCTTTTTTACTTAAGTAGCTTTGTATGCGTGGGATCGTTTTATCCATGCCTCTTTCTGGTGGATTTTTCTTTTTTCAATTTTTTCTGGCTTACATGATAGACAAACGATTAAGATTTATTTTAGTTCCTCATGGTCCTAGAAAAATGAATAGCACATTCATGATCAGGAATATATATGTTTAAGCTCTCGTGGTGAGCTTTGCAATTGTTAATTTGATTTTTTTTTTTTTAGAAAAAAAATTGACACCAAATGCAGGGCTTTCCTTTTTATTTGAAATGCATAAGTTTTGAGCTAGTAGCAGATAAAAAGAACTTTGTATACTTGAGGAAACACATTGGAGATGAATTTTTAACTGTGAGCTGAAAATTTGAGGATCATTAGTCGTGTGACTATAAGTGTATTACTTGCTAGAAATCTGCCACATCAATGGGCAACGTAAATGTTTTGATGTCAGTTTTCAAGTGTATACTCAGACAGTAGGAGCATCAAAAATCATTGTATTATAATGGCAGAAGGAATACCGCGTGAAGATTGGTACCATCCTTGTTTCTTGTACTTGTATTAATGAATATCTCATTGTTGCTGATTAATGAGGAGGGTTGTTATTTTGGAAGTTGGTTAATATTTAATATCTCTTAATAAGGACGAAAATAAAGGTTTGATTCATGGTCGGCAAGGAGCTTCTTTACTGAGTTAATAATTAGCTTGTGGGTTGACTTTTGAAGTTAGATCTTAAAAGATTGTGCTTACTGGATTCAATACCATACGAACAATTTAAGTGTATCAACTCTAAAATATGTAGATCATCAATTCATTTGTTTTTCATTGCCAGTAGTGATCTGGAGGTATCTCAAGCTTGATCTTATTTCTAGTTTTCATAGGGACACAAAGATGTTGATGAGATGGCGTCATTTCCCTCTCTGGATCATGTATGATTTGGAAGCTAGGTTACAGAAAATCTCATAATGATGACAGTGAATCCATTTCTATCGCTTATGGTTTTTGTCATTGCTGAAGTGTTAAGGCAGCCTAGGTGGCCAATTTTTTCTGGCTACCTTGGTTGAGGGTACAATAAAGAGCCTTGTTTGGCTTGTAGTAGTCTCCTCGATTTGGGTTTGATGAGTATCGAGTGACCAGTATATTTTGGTTCCAAGTTTGGTGATGTGGACTATAATGCATATGGAAAAGGGTAGAATTGGAACATGTGTAGCTTGCTCATCTATGTGAGTGGTATGGATCATTGAGGGATGTTGATCATGAGACAAGGATGGTGGAGACAGCATAGACAAAAAAGTTGTTTGTGTAAGTTCTATTGTAAAGGTAGAGTACAAGGTTTGAGAGATTGTTGACTGAAAATATTGATGTGTAATAATCTTCATTGCAATGGTATTTTATCATTGAAACCAATTCTGAAGGTGTACCACTACCGATGCGGCTAATAATCTTGTGGTGCATGACGTTCAAAAACATGCGGAGATTGGTTCTCTTTATGAGACAACTGTGCATTTGCTCTGTTTCTTCAAACAATCATTTGGAGATTATAGAAGCATTTTCAGACTTCAGCATCGAGCAATCTTCATGTGAAACATGTTAATGTCTTTTTAAGGGGAGTTCTGAAAGATCTCTGGGATTAGGTCTAATATTGTATGAATCCTCACCCCCATTTGTGGGTTAAGGTTCATATTTACTCTCTTTTGCCTTTTAGTCTTGAACGGCACTGCCATGACAGAATGCTTTCGGCACTTTGCCCTATTAGTATTTCATCCTTGTCTATGCAGCCAGTGATGTAATACTACTCTACTAATTCGATTCTAAAAGTGGGTGAAGAAATCACTGTTTTCATGACAAAGAGGCGAAATATGTAGTTAGGTTTAATGATATACGTTTTGGACAAAGTGCCATATTGAATTGTCTTTGGAAATAAATTAACTTCTGCATTTGATTTTCTAATTGAGGAAATGCCAATCGTTTGCGTGACAGTAAAGATAAGTGTAGAGTTCGTCAAAGAAATGGAGGAAAATCACCCTCTGGAATTATTTTTACTGTCAGGCCAACCATCGGCATTTCCTCAATTAGCAAATCAAATGCAGAAGTCAATTTATTTCCAAAGATAATTCAATGTGGTAATTAAAATTATCTTCCAATATCTAATTTTTTATTCTTACATATATCAGTGAACATATGGATCTGTTAATCATGGAATATTCAAGTGATCTAAGTGCAGCCAAAACAGCAGTTGAATTAGATAATGCTGCTAGTAGAATCATTTACCAGAGGACACCGGAAATAGCAGGAGCTCTAGGTTCTGGTGAAGCATTTAAATGGCGCATCTCTGAAATTACAAGCATTCTGGTCGTCTCATGGTGGTGAGAAAGAAATGCGAAAAGATTATGTGCTGTGTGAGAAGTCGGCTAAGAATTGATGGGCTGGTTCTAGTTTCGCACCTTTTTGTGGGTTTGCTTTAGGGTCATAATGGATGAATTTTGGCTCCGAAATCAAGTTGAGTCGTCTGTCTATTAAAAAATGTATATAGTCTTTATTTATACTTTCAATTAGAACGATGAAAATCTGGATACCTGCTTGTTAGCCGTGCTTAGAGTTTATTAATTTGTTGTCGGAATGTGTAGCCTATTCATTGTGTGCAATTCGATTTTGACCTATTCCGGTCTTCAAATGTGCTACTGGCTCGTCTGACCCTACCGAAAAAATTGAACTGGCACTGGCCATTTGTGATATGAATCTATGTTTTAACATCATCATGGTAGAGGATAAGTAGAGAGACGCTTCACTGCGGAAATGAGGACGGATAGACATCTGAAGAGGAAGTCGCTGTTCAAAATTTTGAAGTCGGTGTGAACTCTCTTGTGTTGGTATTCTTATTCCAATGGAACGATGTTTCTTGTGTTTTTAACCTGATGTTTGGCCAAAAAAAGGGGAGGTTTCTGAAATCATCTTTATTTTCGGATGCCTGCAAATAGTGTGGGTCTTCAGGACCAAGCACACGATTCTCCAAAATCTTTTGCAGAAAAATGCTTAACGGTTATGACCTTTTTGAAAACAACTTATTGCTAGACTTAACCAGACGTGATAGTGTGTGGGGGCAGCCTAGAAATAGGAATGATCGTTAGGTTGACAAATAATCTCTCAGGCCAATCTTCCTATACGCTTATTGGTGTGCGAAGCTAATATTCTTAACTAAGGTTCGTTATTTGTTTTGTGGAGGTGTCCACTGTTTTTGGTTTCTCATAGTCATGGAGACGAGGCATTGTTGCCTATGTCCTATAGGAAATCATGTTTTTGTGTCCTGTAGGTGTTTCTAACCTTTAGACATTGTCTTAGGATGGCTATAAATTGTATGGTTGCCTAGAGTTAAGTAATGAGCGATTGAGAGGGTTGAATTACATCCCATGTCATGTTGATTCAGCTGTTGAGAGCCTGATTCTGCTGGATGGCGCTGCCCTCAAGACTAAGGATGGATAAAAAGTCATGGTTGCCTAGAACCATGGGATGAGACATTGGAGGATCAGATTACATACCTTGATGTGGAATATATGGTGAGGACAGGTGGGTATTCGGTCTCTTTTTCTGGTGTAGTCGTTATAAAAATCTAACAAAAAAGGTCGCTCGTCTGTCGCAGGTTGGCCATCAAAGGATGGTTTGGCATCTAATGCTGGTAATATTGTCGTTAGATTTTCCAGCTTATAGATGGTATAAATTATGGATTGTATTCTTTCTTTTGAGAGTATATTTTGTGGGTCAGTAGATGCAATTCCATTTTGCTCTAAATGTGTTTAATTTCCTTTAGGCATTACATGAACTGAACTGTTTGGTCTCACGTCTTGGACCTTATGTACATGAAATGAAGCCTATTGTTTGCTGGTTTTACGTCTGTCTGGATCCAAGTTCGTAATCATCAGCCTACTTTGGATTGAGCCATGCTTTCTTATCTTTAATGAGTATGAAGCATTCTACAGCCCCATCTTTTCTCAATGGATTATACTTATTGCGATCCACGTGCTCATATCTTTCGTCACTGTTCTACCCGTTATTTTGTTACACCTTTTTTAGGTGTTTTCTGTTGTTTTCCAACAATTTTATTTTGTTGCATTTTCAGTGTGGCAGGAACATCTCCCATCTTACCTTTCTCTTTCCCATTTGACCGTTGGAATCTGTTTTCTAGCACGCAGGTTTCTGTGGTGGAATTGGATGTGTTGCTTTGTGTCCTCGTCATTTTGAAGTGACAAATATGTAGTGGATGCCCATGTTCCAAGAGTTACCACACTTCTTCGGTAGTAAACTGCAATGGAGTGCAACAAAGAAGAGGCTGTTCGGGCTAAAGCTATTGCTGAGAAAAAGATGCAATGCAGAGACTTCATTGGAGCACGAAAAATGGTCCTCAAAGCCCAACAACTTTTCCCTGATCTTGAGAACGTATCACAAATGCTTACTGTCTGCCAAGTGCACTGCTCTGCAGAAATAAAGGTCATTGGGTCCGAGGACTGGTATGGAATCCTTCAAGTAGAACCCACTGCGGATGAATCCTTGATCAAGAAGCAGTATCGAAAGCTTGCTCTCTTGCTTCATCCCGACAAGAACAAGTTTGCTGGTGCGGAAGCTGCCTTTAAGCTAGTCGGGGAGGCACATAGGACACTTTCAGACAAGTCCAAGCGTTCAGTTTATGACTTGAAGAGGAGTGCTGGCGTAAAAACTGTAGTATTTAGCACACAAGCTCGTCAACAGGGCAAGGCCTCTGATACCAGAGGGCAACCTGCAGCTCCTAGCAGTTATCCAAACCATGGCTCATCATTCACCAACGTTAACCAGACTCAGGCGGCCCACCAGCAGCAAACGCAGGCTGCATTTGGATCTCTGACATTTTGGACGCTATGTCCTTCCTGTGGAATAAGATACCAATACTACCGAACCATTGTCAACAAAGCTCTCCGTTGCCAGAATTGCTTGAAACCTTTTATCGCTCATGACATAAATGTGCAGGGTGTACCTGGAGCTGTAAACTTCAGCTGTCCTGTGAACAAACCTGGATTCTCTCATCAGAATGATTATCAAGGTAATGATAGCATAACCAGTAGACAACCGAGTAAGAGCGAAGGACCTGGTGGCCGCTCTGTTCTGCAGCCTGACACAAAGATATTTGGCCCCGGGTGTAGCCAAAAAACGAAACAATTTGATGAAGTGGAGAATGGAAATGCTATGAAGAAGAAAGTGAAGATTGAAGAGGTTAACCTGGCGAAACCAAACCAGACGGAGCCAAATATGCAGCCATCAGGAAATGCCAACCAGAAACGAGGGAGAAAGATGGTGGTGGAGTCCAGTGATTCAGATTCCACTGACAGTGAAGCAACTATGAAGGAATCCGAGCCTGATGTAGTAAAGAATGAAGGGACCAGTGGCAACCATCGTCCACGAAGATCTTCGAGGCATAAACCAAATGTTTCGTACACTGAAGATAACAGTGACGGTGACGACTCCAAAAAATCTACTGGTTTTAAACGGCTGAGGAAGAATTCTTCACCTCATAGCGATGATCAGCGTACCAAACCATCGTCTGGTGTTGGTGTTGACAAAGTTGAAGAGCCAATGGATGCAGCTCCTGCTTCCTTAAATAAATCTGTTTCTACAAAGGAGGGAACTTTGGCTGGAGATGGTTCACCAGCCAAGAATAACTGTGAAGAAACCTCACTGAAGGAATCTGGAGATCGTAAATGTCAAGATAAGGTGAAGGCGATTCCCGAAGATGGTATGAGTGCGATGTCTAGCTCGAATATGAATGAGCGGAAGATCAACACCACCTTCCTGGACTACCCTGATCCAGAATTTTATGACTTTGATAATGATAGGTCTCCAAAATGCTTTGCTGTTGGTCAGATCTGGTCACTGTATGACTATGTGGACGGCATGCCTAGATTCTATGCTCTTATTAGGAACATTTCTTCTTCTGGATTTAAGCTGCGGTTTACTTGGCTAGAACATTTTCCTATTGGCCAAGCTGAGAAGGATTGGTCTGACGAAGAACTGCCTGTGGGTTGTGGGGTGTTCAGGCTTGGAAGAACCGAAACCACCGAGGACAGCCGAGTGTTTTCTCACCTAATGCCTTGGAACAAAGGCCCAAAGAGGAATCCTTATCTGATATATCCTAGAAAAGGTGAAGTCTGGGCCCTCTTCAAGGGCTGGGATCTCAATTGGAGCGTTGACCCAGACCAACATCGACAGTATGACTACGAGCTCGTGGAGGTTCTGTCTGATTTTGCGGCGGACACAGGTGCAGACGTTGTGTCTCTGGTCAAGGTGAAAGGGTTTGTGAGCATCTTCTGTCAGGCAGGCGGAGGGAGACAGAGCCCTGCTCACATCCCCCATGACGAACTGCTCAGATTCTCTCACATGGTGCCTTCCTACAGAATGACTGGAAAGGAAAGAGAGGGCATTCCAGAAGGGTTCTTTGAGCTGGACTCTGCTTCTCTTCCCATTAATGTGGAGCAAACATCTCCTTCAGTGGCTCTCCATGAGGTTAGCCCCAGCATTCAGGATCCATGCCAAGAAAACTGTGCAGCTCACTCAGATGATCAAGCAGGAGGAAGTAAGGTCAATGATCGTCAGGCTGACAAGGGAGTGCCCAGCTCCAGTGTTGACCCTGTGGAGCAGAACGGCAATGGGTCTCCCCCAGATCTTCAGAGTCCCACCTACATTGTGTACCAGGACTCTGAGTTCTACGATTTTGACCTGGACAGAGTGAAAGAGAAGTTCCTGGCAGGTCAGATCTGGGCACTCTACTGCGAGGATGACGGCTTCCCAAAGTACTACGGCTATGTGAGGAAGGTCGATCCAGAAGACTTCAAGGTGCACCTGACCTGGCTGGAAGCTTGCCCGCGGTCGGAACAGGAGGCCAAGTGGTCGGTCAATGGCCTCCCATTCGGCTGTGGAAGATTCAAGCCCATTTCTGGAAAGGAAGGCAAGGAGACTTACAGAGTCATCGAGACCTTCTCTCACCTGGTGCAGCAGACAGAGCCTTCCCAGAGGCGGCTGCAGTATGATATCTACCCCCAGGTCAACGAGGTGTGGGCGGTGTTCAGGAACTGGAGCGTTGACTGGAGTCTGTCTGACCTGGAGAAATGCTCGGAGAAGGGAGAGTACGACCTTTTGGAGGTCACTGCAGCCTCGAGCTCTGCCATATCTGGCCAGGTCCTGGAGAAGGTGGAGGGGTTCAAGACGCTGTTCAAGCCCAGGATGAGAAGCAGGGAGAGGGTCAAGGTGGAGATCTCTTGCCATGAGCTCTTGAGGTTTTCTCACCGGATCCCTTCTTTCAGGTTGACCGAGGAGAGAGGTGGGAAACTGAGAGGGTTCCTGGAGCTCGACCCAGCGTCGGTGCCTGATCTCATTCTCTGTTCAAGCTAATTCTGGCAATCTATAGCGATTGGAGCAGATTTTGGGCCTCCAGAAAAAAAGGAGAAAAAAAAAACTGTAAGAAACCATAAAAGGAAAATGATCTAGTGAGGTGTTAATAGGTGGTTTTACTGAATCAGGGCAGCTCTTCTTGGTCTTCCCCATTTCCATGGCCGGTAGTCAACGAATTCCTGTAATGTATCTACTGCTCTGATGATCATTGCAAAGGCTCTGCTGCATTTTGGCTCTTCAGGCTGAGCTACTATTAATAGTAAACGGGAGGCATTCTCTGGCTGTTCTACTCTGCTGGAGGCTCGCTCTTCTCCTTCATTTTTGGCAGCCCTTTCTGGGCTGGAGATGGCCTTTGACTAGGTGGCCTGATCCTGTAAGCTCGGAGGCCTGTTGGCCTCCCTCTCTTCCACCGGTTGTGTACATGGGACAGATGAGGTATGTTTCTGCCGTCTTCACAAGGTTTCAAAAGGCTTCATCTCCTCCTTGAATCCTCCCCATTATGCATGATTTTGCCTTCCGTTTTGGGGACCCTCTTTCATACGTGGAAGTCAATGATTTAATCAGAAAAAAGGGCAGGTAAAAAGTCAAAGTGTCCTTTGACCAGGGCAAATACTATTCTGGCTGTTACTATTTATAAAATATGAGAGAGAGTCTATTTCTTGAGCCTATGCCAAACTTCGAATTATTTTCTTACTAATAGATAATATGCTCTTAGTTCGTTAGGAATGCATGTCCTGGCCATCACGATATTACTTCTCTTTTATGGAGTTGACATTTTTGACATGGGTCAACGCCTCTATGGATAGTTGACGGAGCCCAAGTGGAAGTTTGGCCTCAGTTATTAAGTAAGGTCAAGCCTCACTGTTGACAAATTATTAGTGTTTATGGAGGAAATACTAAATTGACCTGAAGCAGAGTTGACCCGTGTGAGGGGCTATGTATCACACTTGAGGGCAAAATAGGTTAAAGAATAAAACGTTGACTTAATAACCATTTTTTAGAGACCATAAAAAGACCAAAGTGTCAGTTAGATTAATAGGTAAGTCGTATTATTCATGGATTGTGTGAAGTAAAGACCTGTTGGTCGTCAACTGAGGGGTTTGACCCCCGAATCAACCCCAAAAAGGAAATAAATCAAGTAAATCACATTTAAGTTGCTGTCGGGCTTCGGGAAGGTCTGACCTCGAAGCCCGGATGTCATCTCTCTCTCTCTCTCTTACAGATAAATTTAGATAAAGTGCTAGACCCATGTCATAGGCCCATCTATCGGAAACAAGATATGTGGGCCCCCATCTGCTAGAGTAGACCCATGTTTTGGGCCCATCTATCAGAAACAAGACATGTGAAACCGTGTCGACCGTTTTTTCATATAATCTAAGATCACATGGTACAATTGGGCTAGGGAAGGGCTGGAGAGAGAGAGAGAGAGAGAGAGAAGAGGAGAGATAAAGAGAGTTGGAGTGAGAGAGAGAAGAGTTAGAGAGAGAGAGAGAGAGAGAGATGAAGACTCTAATAGTGTTCTCTTGACCAGTAGATGTTTCGTGGGGTCGGGCGGGGACTTATTCATGCCCGGCCCATTAAGAACTTGTGGGGGATAAGTAATCCTGGCGGGGACGTTTATTTTGTAGGTTCCCGCCAACGCCTGCCGCCCTCACACCCTTCTCTCTCTTCTTCGGGTGGGGAGGGGGGTTTCTTCCCCAAAGATGGCGGCGACCTGCGAGCGAGTTGGCCGAGCGGGCGGCGAGGCGGCAGCGGCGGCGGCGACGGCGACGGCGACGACGACGCAGGCAATGGAGGCGAGCTCTGCCTCTCTCGGTAGGGTTTCCGTGAACCCCTCTCTCTTCTTCTTCATCTTCTGGCGACCTTTTGTTTGTTGTCTTCCTTGTTCTCGTTGCGTTTCTGAGAGATGGCAGGACGATGGTCACTTCTTCGCCGGCCTTGATTTTCCTTGCTCGGCGGCGGCAGGTGGGGAGCTTCTTGGTGATGGGCGCGGCCACGACGGGTCCGGTACTTACGACGACACACTTCCTCTGGGAGAAGATGAGATGGATACTGGTGGGACCCAGTTTCTCGGGGAGGTTTCTAACTTAGGCGGCGAGACCCAGGTGCTGGATCATCAAGATAGCGTCGACACTAGTCGTGATCTTGGGGGAAACGAGACCTCAGTGATGGCCCAGATGACATTTTATGGAGATACTGAAGTTATTGAAGATGATCGGGAAGGGTCTGAGGGAACTGCCGTGTTGTGTGACGACGACGAGCATTCCGATGGCGTGGGTACTCCTTGTACTCTGCCTTCCATGACTTGCTTGAGTGAGTCGGGGAAGAGGGACCTTTCTCTGGATGCTGAAGCTTGCTCCACCGCCGAAGTGGGTAGATCAGGTTAGTTTCTTGCTTTCATGTGATCTCCCGCCCTCATGGTCCAGTATTTACTCTGTTCCTTGTTCCTGTTTTAATTCGATCTTGCTTTATACATAGGCTCGTTCATCTTATGCATTCTATTTTATGATTCTGACGTATATGCGGGAATCATATCAAATGCCCGCTTTGTGCCCACACTTTTGAGATGGCCGCTTTGAGAAACGACAAGGAAATTCTGATCCTTCTCCCATAATTTTGGAAGAAGTATGGAATTCTCCATGATACTTGGCCATCGAAGATCATGTTCCACAAAAGGATGATTAATAGTCAATACCGATTTTTCATCGTTTGAACCTGAACTTAATCATACTCTTATGTAGTGCACTTTCACAAATTACTGTTGTTGATAACTTCTGCTAGCAACCATTCAGGATTTAAGGAATCTTATTTCTTTTCAACATGCAATTGATGAGTTCAGGAAATTATGTCCACCTTTCAGCGTATTCCAAGCACAATCTGTTTCATCGTGATCTAATGTTTCATTTTTCACGTTGGGGGATAAGACATGAGGCTTCTCAGATTCTCTTCCTTGGTTTACTATTCTGAGTTAATTTCCACCCATCACGTGCTCTACATTCATGTTATCTGTGATGACATTCTTCCTCCAATTCCGAGATGATCTACCTCCATTTATTCTACAAAAAAAAATTATTTATTTTTCTGGCTACAGTGATGCGTGTATTGATTGTTGTACAAAAACTTTAATGATGCACAGATTTTAGAATGCGTAAGGACCCCAGAAAAGATCTGCACCTAGTGAAGTATCATGAGCGCCATCTCCACTTGCTTTGTAGAACTCTGCTTCCTCATGTAAAGGGAAGCAGAGTTATACATTTCTCTGGAAACGACGTTGAAGAGATTTTTTTGACTTTGAGTTTCTCTTTTCAAATCTAGCAGGGCCTGTGAGGAGGAGGAGCTTCACAGAAGTCCGGGCTGCATCATTGCGGGCTTCTGGTCTTGCAGCAGCTCGGAATATGACTCCTATGACTGTTGATGCTGTACGAAGTCCTTCCGGCTGTGGTAACAAAGTTATGTCGATTGTTAAGAACTACGCTGGAGTAATTAAAAACAATTCTGAGATAGTCAATGCCAGAGATTTTTTTTGGGACAGTAGAGTTGATGAACAAAACCTGGACTTCGGGATTGCTATGCAGGGCCAACATGCTGAAGAAGTCGCAAATAAAAATGTTAACCTCACTGCAAGGAAACTTAATTTTGAGGAAAAAACTTCTGAAAAATCTGATGATGGAAATCCGCAGTCACTGTGTTCACTTTTTGGTGATAACTCTGTTGCAGGCCTAAGTTATATTTACTCTCAAGAGCCAGGTGAACAGTTGCAAGCAGATGCACTGAATACTATTGATAATTTCCTGTTCATCAATGATGTGGGACTCTCTCAGGAACCCAATGATGGCAAAAGTGTTGAAGTGAGGACATCTCCAGTTTCCAGTGCAGCAGGGGCTCATAACCTATTGAAAATGAGTGGCCCTCGAAGCCCGGTTGGAAAAAGTGGAATCTTTGACTGGGTTGACAGTCTTGAAGATGAGGGTGGCGGTGATTTCTTTAGGAAGAGAAAGGACCTTTTCTTTGGAAGTAGTGAGCATTTGAAGAACTCGAATACCCAATTCTTGAAGAAATCAAGATTAGCCCGAGGTGCATTTGATAAGTTAGGGGACATTGAAGGTAGGTTCCCTAATGCTGATTCTAAGAGGATGCGACTAACCTTTTCAGAGCCTAGACCGAAGCAAGATATCTTCATTACTTACAACTCACTGGATTCTCCAGTGAAAACGTCAAGGGCCCTATTGGCGCAGATTGCTGGGAAGTTGAAGACAGAATCACCTACAATGAACCAATCAAATGAAAGATGTGCCGAAAGAAGGGAGGAAAATACCTATGATATTGGACCAGATACCCAAGTTGCAGCTGAAGCCATGGAAGCTCTTGTTTTGGGGCATTTTTCTGAACATGTAGACAGAGCAGGTAATGCTGCAGATCCTGTGATGTCTCCGGTTTATACCCCTGTCAAAAAGAGAAGGACCTCTTCTAATCTAGGGGGAAGTGTAAGGAGATCGATGAGAATAAAGATGTTGCACGCAGATGCAAACTCTCATGGGAACAGTTCAAAGGAAAATGAATCCTTGAAGAGAGGTCTCAGAAAAAGTGCAAGAATGAAGCATGAAAATGAACTCTCGGAGAGAAAACCTCGTAAATCACTCAGGACAGAGACAGCGCAGAGTAAAGGTAAATTTTCCTCACCTTTGGGAACAGAAGTTGATGAAGCAGTGGCCAAGAGTGGTACTGAGAGGGTGGGTGAATCTGCTGGCTCGTTGTCCTTCAATGATCAGACTTGGTCTGACAATGAATGTGTTCAGAGGGTGAATAGCCTGAGTGTCACACCTGTTGCACATCGAACAAGGAGTTCCAAATTAAATGCTGCAGTGAGACATCGAAAGCAGCCTATAGATTATGAGATGCCTGAAAAAGGTCTGATGGTGGAAAATCCTGCTGCTCCTAAGAGAAAACGTAGTAGAATCATTGTAAGTCAACCTGAAACGGGAGAAGCTTCAAACGAAATCAAAGAACATGTCGAGAACATCTCTGGTGAATTTAATGTGCAAGGAAGCACTGTGCTCCCAGAAGAGCCATGCACGGCCAACGCCTTATTGGAAAAGACGCCGGTTGATAAAACACTGAGAACAACTCATGAGAACATCCCTGGGTCTGGGTACACTGACAAGCTTGCCAACTTCGAAGGCCCACCTTTATCGAGGCATGGTTCGACGGTGGCTTCAGAAAATGCTGATATAATCCCCAAACTTGTGGAGAACCAATCAAAGGATCCTGCCTGCTTACTTTCTACTGGTAAAAACCATGGTACTGTGAAAGGGGTTTCGCCATCATCAAATGCCCGGTCAAGATCGTTTTCACAGTCACATCTTGGCACCTCAGAAGGAGAATCCGTTCAAAGCTTGAAAGGTGATATTTTGATAGAGTGTGGTTCCGCTCATGCCACCTGTTCAGCTTCTATTGTGAATGAGAAGGCGCAGCTGGAAGAAGTTAAAGCTGAGACTTCAGTATCCATTGGCTGTGCTAATTCGAAGCAAGGCGCACCTGCACTATCGGACGCTCAAGATGCACTCGAGAAAGGCGGTCAAGAGAGAGTTCAGCTACTAGATTCAACATCCACAGTGCCAACTAGCAAATTAAGCGCACTATCACCTGTTTGTACTAGTGTAGATTCTCTGAGAGCAACATGTAAAAGAAGATCATCAAAATCATTGGTTGCCAGAGAGCTAATCAGACTTCAGGATGCGCCAGCCTCCCCAGATATTGACTTGAAAGATGTGCGAAGAAGGAGAGATATTGCAAGCATTCGTGTTTGTCTCAGCCATCACCTGGATGATGACATAATTAAGCAACAGAAGAAGGTAGTCTTTGTTACTGTGATTAATTTTCAGTATCAGCTGCGCCATATGCCTCATATTGACTCTTCTATTTCTTGCTTGGCAGATTTTGGCGCGTTTGGGTGCCTCCACAGTCGGTTGTGTTTCAGAGGCGACACATTTTGTAGCAGATAAGTTTGTGCGTACAAGAAATATGTTGGAAGCAATTGCTCTGGGTAAACCAGTGGTGTCTCATCAGTGGTTGGAAAGCTGTGGGCAATCATGCTGCTTCATTGATGAGAGAAATTATATATTGAGGGACGTGAAGAAGGAGAAAGAGATCTGTTTCAACATGCCAGATTCCTTGTCTCGTGCACGGCAGACACCACTCCTTCAGGTTTTCTCTGCTCCATCCAGTTCTGCTTCCCAGATGATGGTTTAATGTTCCAATATTATCTTTCCTCACACACATATGGAATTATCTATTTAGGGTAAACGAGTGTTCATCACACCTAATGTCAAACCCGGTAGGGAACTCGTCGCCGACTTGGTTAGGGCAGCTCAAGGCCAGGTATATCATCGTTGTGGGTCTTCCGTTGCTCAGCATCATGTCTACCAGCAGTTTCATCCTCATGTTTGACTTTTGATTTATTGCTTGTTTCAATTGCTTTGCTGCATATATCAAGAAATCGGTATTTTAAAAACTATAAATAGTAAATATCTTATGATGATAATGATGCCACCGTGAATCAACCAGAGATCAGCAGAGCCCGCATGCCCAGTTATCTGCGCGAGAAGGTTTTGTGAATGCCTCCTCAGATATCCTCTTGACTGCAGTTGTGACCTCCTTCAAGCCCCTCTGTACCCACTTTTGTCATCCTCTGTCTCAACCAGTCAAGAGAATCCAACGGACAGCATGCAGCTTTCCATTTGATCATCTGGGAGATAAAGAGAGCGCGTGTGTAGGTGTGAAAAGATTAGGGTTTTGAAAATGACATAATTCATACTGCTTGAAGCATGCTTTTGTGAAGAGTGTCAAATAAGGAGGTAAAGAAATTGAAAACACCCAAACTCGTATTTTTATTCATCAACTGGATATTTTTTCAATTATTTTCCTCATGAGCTGCGATCTAAATTGTATATAACATATGAATCCCAGTTGGTATGATTTTCATGTCTGAATGAACAGGATATTATCTATTTTTTTTTCTCTCACTGGCTGTGATCTTCAAAATACAGAACACCCATATTAAATATTTGGATAATGTATGTATATATGGTAAAGCTCAGTTGTTGCGACTTTCAGCCACTGGAGAGGATTGGGCGATCTTCAATCAGGGATGGCAAGGTGCCCAATGATCTTCTGGTCATTTCCTGTGAGGAGGATCTCGCAATCTGCACACCTTTCCTGGAGACAGGTGAGAGTAATCCCTGGTCAACGGCAATGCCACCCTCCCCCCCAAGGTTCCTCCCAGGGCACTGACTGATGATGGTGGGCTTGGGTTCTCAGGGGCGGAGGTCTTCAGCTCCGAGCTCCTGCTGAACGGGATCGTTGTTCAGAGACTCGAACATGAGAGGTAGGCTCCACTCGGAGGGTTTCCTCTTCAGGGAAAGAACTCCATTAATATGCTTGTGCTTCTTATGTTATATGAACAGGCATCGGATCTTCGCGGATCGCATCAAGAGGACCCGCTCGACGATCTGGTTCAGAGCGAGCAGCAGCAGCCGGTTCCTCCCCGTGGGGAAGTGCAGGTAGTAACTGAGAGGGGGGAATTGGGGAGGATGGTTCGGAGTCTGTAGATTCTCTGGGTTTCTTCACGGCCGCGGTGGGGTCTGCCATTCTCTTTGTACAGCGAGCGGTTGATAGATTCTTCTGCTCGAAGTTTGTTCTAGGCTAAGTATATATATATATATATATACATTTTTTTTTCCGACGTTGACGATGTGCGCTTTGTTGATGTATACTAATAATTATTGGTTTCTTGATGGGATATCTTCTTGATGATTCATTCCCCCCTTCACTCCCCTAAAAGCTTCCTAATCTATGAGCATGAAGAACACATTTTTCACCAGGATATATTATATTTAGAGAGAGAGAGAGAGAGAGAGAGAGAGAGAGAGAGAGGTTCTTCATTTCAGGGTTTATGGGTTATGATTGACTGATCGCTGCCAAGTTCATGGAAGGTATACTAGAGCTTTGATAAACCAATCTGTATGATCAGGTAATTGTATTAGTTCAGGTGTGTGGGCACTACTTATTTTGGAAGGGTTCTCATTGGGTCACCTTCGATTCTTTTTTTAATGAAAGTCAACGCAAACGTCACTTTACCCTTCACCCCCGTTAGGAAATCCTTCCTGAAATTTATTTCTCCAATGAGAAGATGAACGCGTCAGACCAAGGAAATGTCTCTCTCTCTCTCTCTCTCTCTCTAGAGATTACTAGAAACCAAGGGAACTTGTATAACTAACTCAGGCCATTTGAAGGAGCCAAAACTAGAAAAAAAAAAAAAAGAAAGAAAGAAGAAAGGGCATGATCGGCGATGAGAAGCTATAAAATGTTAACACCTGTCAGTCTGAAGAATATTTCGTTTAGAGCGTCTGCTGAAAGAGTCGCATCCTACGAAAAGAAGCCAGTTGTGCTTTCAAGCCCCAGAATCTCCAAATCACCAGCGACGGCGTCCCTCTGAAGCCATGGCCCAGAGCTCTCTTCACACATCTACACTGACAATGCCCCTGCCTGGTCATGACCCGACCCAGATCGCCAGTCAACTCCGTCCCCGAGAACTGGCAGTCAAAAGCACCTTTTATAGAAAAGGATAGCAACTTGACTATCAAATGTTACTAATAATGTCAATCAGAAACTGTGGCAGTATACTGAGCTTGACCCGCATCATGGGCACCATCTGAATCTTAAAAAAAAGGGTTTGGGTCCCATCGCTCGCGATCTGATTTAGGGTTTCAAGGATGGCCCACGAAGGGCAGGAAAAAAGGAGGATGAGAGAGAGAGAGAGAGGCGTACCTTGAAGCAAGCCTTGTGAGCTAGTGGTTTGACTCCGATGGCTGGGAGTACATGTGGTGGCCACCGTCTTGGGGAGCATTGGAGGGAGGAGGCCCATCCTGAGCAGACCTTTGCATTCCTGAAGGAGAGGAGGCACTGAAAGCATCGTACCCACCGCCACCTCCTGCCGACGGGTTGCCCTGATATGTTGCAGGGTTGAAGCCAGGAATCGGTGCAGATGGGCCGCCAGAGGAGGCCGGGGGAGTGATCGGAGGCCTCGGAGGCCCGTTCATTTGCATTGGTCCTGAGGGCGGACCAGGTGGACCTGGAAACTGCATTCCTGGCATACCCCCATACCCTGCAGCAGCAGAAGGAGAGAGAGAGAGAGAGAGAGAGAGAGAGAGTCACCGAAGCTGTTAGATAGAGAGTTCCTTCCAAGAGTAAGTTGAGGTGAATCAAGGAGAGAAGAATGGAAACACGAGATGAGGATTTTCGATTGAAAAATATAACTGATTTGGAAGAGAGAAGTCAAGGGCTTTGAATTAGAAATATATCACCTCATGTGAGAAAATGGTGAGTCAACGGGCAACAAAGAAGGTGAATAGTCGTATCAACAACACTAGCCAGTTGAATAATCCTCCACAGGAACACCTTTCCCATGGAAAGAGAAGGAGCCTTCATAGCTCTCCTCCTCCCCCCCCCCCAAACCTCGGCTCTTAATATCGATCACTCTACAGGTATAATATGCAACTTTTAGCCTGTTGGATCCCCTCATTCCTGGTGTTCATCTGCATATTGGCCATCACCCTCTTCACCTCTTATAAAAAAGAAAACAAATCCATGATGATGATGTCAGAATCATGTGTTACCCTGGGGAGGGTCAAACGCTAACAGTTACCCAGAGTCTAAGATCTTTCCCATTTAGGTAAGCAAAACTTCTGACCCAAAAAGCTTGTATTACTGACGTTATTAGACTGGAAATTATGCAAACAGAGTTAGGAGGAATTAAGCAAGGTCACATCTAGTTGTGGGATGAAATGAAGCATAAAATGAGGGGAAAATATTGGCTGGCAGCCAGAAAGAAGATTGTTGGATCAATGAATGAACTCGCATCCAATGCTCTACAAGGTGAATTGGAATGATGCTGCATCGCGTTAGTTGGTAAATGATTGGCAAAGTGGGACCTACTTTACCAAGCTCAATCAATTGATCTCTCAACAAGAGCCCTTCACAGGACATCAATTGCCTCGTCAACATTATAATTTGATTCCCATTCTTAATGCCCTCCCTCCTGACCACGTTGAGAATTTTTTCTAACACATTTGGAATTCGCATATTGACCTAAAGATAGTAACTGAACTATCTACTGAGAATTAGAAGTCTTCTCAAGATTTACACCGAAGATATCAAGAATTCAATGAAGGAGACCAGGTAATGATGTGTGTACTAGCAACTCTTTCAAAAAGTTTCCTTCTCAAGCCGATAGACCATTTGGCACAATGGGAACTTCACGCATATGCAGATTGTCACTGGTAGGAACATAAGTGTTCAATGTGAAAAACTTATTTATACATTGATGCACATTTTAATCTCTTATGCAGAGTACATGAGAAAATTCAATCCATTCACTAGGTAGGAATCATGAAACTAAAGAAGATAGCAATCAAAAAGAATTTCAACAATTAAATACAATGAATATAATAACATCAGCTATTGCCATGATATCAAAAAACTCTGTAGAAAGTTCAGATCAAATCATTCCACAATGAGTATAGGGGTTCCTTCATGGGACTAGGCGAAAATATTTGATTATTTTTGGACATTTGGTCAATGGAAGCCACAATGTGTATGAGAAGGAGAAACTCTATCAATCAGCAGTATTTGATTGCAGACGAGACCACCCGCACCATTAAAGAATTCCCTTATGTGTCCTACGTTCATTCATTAATGAGATGCCTTTGTCTTGCTATATCCTTCCTCAACTGTCTACAAGTAGAGATCTGCAATTTCTTCAAAGTTGAAAAGCAGAATGACCTAATAGTTTAGTTGGTGCCAAGTGGTGGCAGAAACTTTTGAACCCCTGGAGAAGACGACCAAGATTCCTGAGGTTACTGTAAGCATTTCACACTCCAAGGCGGCAAAACAGAACCAAAGGTATTAATTCATATTTTTCCATCACAGAAACCATTCACTTCATCTAACTCACGATTTTGTTATAAGAATTTCAAAACCATAATTATTTATCCGTATTGGATGAAACTATTGCTAGCAATCGATAACGTAATTCCACTTTCTGAATGAGATATCATGCAATTTTCTCTAATGTTGATTTCAATAAAACACCTATTTCTATGAGTATATGGATATCCATAAGCCAAAGATATTTCTTAACACCTACCTGGAGCTCCAGGCATGGGGCGTGGCAAAACAGGGGGCCGCATTAATGGGAGAGGCGGCTGCGAACCTCCAGGCATTGGCAATACCGGTGTAGGTAGGACAGGAAGACGAGGCCTCTGAGCATTTGGAGGGAGAGAAGACAAATATGTTGCACCAACTTGATATGCGGCCTGTCCAAGATGCTCCTTGATCCTTTGATCAATAAGACTCTGCGTCTGTTGCTCTTCAAATTGTTGATAGTATTGACGTACGTTTGCCTGAGTAACATAATAGCATCAGTCAGCATGTATTAGACAATAAGTGAAGGAAAACAAAAATTCAATAAGAAAAGACTAATTAAATACCTTGTGTTTATACCCAGCATTATGCTGCTTCCTCACAGATGGCTGAAACGGTTGCGGAAAAAAGTGAGTTTTTAAAGTAAAAACATCAACTAACATTCGTACTTTGAAATTTAAGAAATTAATTTTGGACGTGAACTTTACAGGCAGTTAATTAATCTGAGTGGTCCTTTCGTGATGGAATTGAAGTGTAAAGAATGATTCTACTATCAGTACTCTATCCTTCTCGCATCTGGCAATAGAATGTAATGCACCAGTAGCTAGGGCAACTCCTTTCTCATACTTTCGAAAGATACAAGCAAGACAATGCGGAAGTTCTCTGTTGGTATTTGGACGCTGAAGGCAAACGCACGCTGAATTCTTTGTCTATTGAAGGCGCTGGCCTCACAGGCAATCACAGATTCGACCGATCCCTGACCATATACACTACTCCAAAGATTTACGAGCATCCCATCTATATGAAATAATTAGGCTTGGAGCCTATCTGGATCTCTCCGCGTAAGATGGCCGACTAAGCAGGAGAGAGAAGAAACAGTTCGGATGAAACGAAACACAATGTAAACCCACACTCATTCAGGAGGGGTAGGGTGTCTGCAGAGAGAGCGAGATATTCAACGCACCGAATCATGCGTCAAGTAAGTATCACAATAGTCGCAGTAGTACCTGCGAAGGCAGATTCAAAAAAAAAAATCAAATACCTTAATGAACGCACATAATCAGCTGAAAAGAACATTACGGTTGAGGAAGGAGAAGGCGACTGAGATTGCCATACCGAGGCATGGTACCCTACTTGCAGTCTTCTTCAGAGATTGCGACCGCCACTAGAAGGTAAACCTGAAGAGTGAGATCAAGATGGAAGAAAGCGGGGAAATCAATCCCAGATCAGAATATCACCGGCTGATAAACGGGATGTAGAGCACTGTCAGCGGGCGATGCAACCGACTTACTGCTCGGAATCTTGGACGGGGGCGGCCGATCGACTCCTCCGGCGAGGTGCTCCTTCGACCAGAGAGAGAGAGAGAGAGAGAGAGAGAGCAAGGGTTTTTCGGTGCTCGTTCGAAAATAAAACCCAGAATATATATCGGCGTCAACGGGCCCGAGGCCGTTCATCTCTGGCCCACATCAAACACGGCCCAGGCCCAGATAAAAGTACCTATCTTTAAGAGAGAGAGAGAGAGAGAGAGAGAGAGAGAGAGAGAGAGAGAGAGAGAGAGAGAGAGAGAGAGAGAGAGACATGAAGGCTCGAAGGTTCTCTTGGTCAGTGGATGCTGGGTGGGGTGCGGTCCCGGGTCTAGCCTGGACCCCAAAGTAAGACCTTCCCACGTGACATTCAGTCTCCAACGTGAATCGTGGTCCCACATTCCATCTAATACGTGGCGGCTCATTTTCCGGGCCGGCAACCTCCGGCCCGGTCCGCCGAGGCACCTCATTTCCCCAATATACAAACAAGACCATGAGCACAATATTTATGTTAAAATGGTAAAGGATAATTTTTTTACATCCAATTTCATTCAAATAAAAGCCATGTCGGTGCGGCACCCTAGTTATTATCATTCAATTAACTTCCGGTCAAATATCGGTGTTGACTTCGCAGTCCTTGACCTCGCATTTGACCTGGGCGCTGTACCCGTTGGCAGCGTCGTAATACCTGTCCCAGAGCATGACGCCGCCGTACTTGGGGTAGCCGCTGACGAAGGGGAGAACCTGCGCGGTGAAGTTCTCCGGTGGCACGTACCCGCCGCCGGCGGCGGCATCCTCCGCGGCTGGGAGGCCGACGAACAGCGCCGCCGCCTTGGCCTTGGCGTTCCATCTCTCCCATGAGAGCTTCATGGGGAGTAGATTCTCCGGCGAGTACTGGCAGGTGGCGCCGCCGAAGAAGCGGACCCAGACAGCGTCAAAGACGCCGGCGGCGATGGCGCGCTTCAGGGTCCTGTCCCGGAACTCGCAGTCGGCGGCGGCGGTGAGGAGGACCTTGCGGCCTTCCCGGCTGTAGTTGGCGAGGCCTCCGGCGAGGTCCTCCCAGTGGAGGCGGTCCTTCCTTGTGGAGCCGCCAGCGACGGAGAAGTCGACCCCGTCGAGGGCGGCGCGGCCGAGGGGGCGGGAGAAGGCCTTCCCGAAGAGAAAGTTGTTATACAGGTACTCTGCCACCTGCCGGGCGTCCTCGGCGGAGTCCAGGGAGTGGCTGGCAGCATCGCCGCCGCCGAGGGAGAGGAGGACCTTCACGCCGAGCTTCTGGCAGGTGCGGATATCGCGGGAGAGGGCGGCGCAACCGCCGCGGGAGGCGTTGCAGTGGCCGGAGAGGTCGAGCACCGGCGAGCGGCCGCCGCCGAAGGCGGTGAGGAAGGCGATGTTAACGAAGTCGTAATTGCCGGTGCGGCAGGCCTTGGAGAGCCTCCCCTCGCCAGGGTTCTGGCCCCAGTAGACGGCGATAGCGCCGCCGCCGCTTTGTCCGGCGGAGCTGGTGGCGGCCAGGTTTAGGAGCAGGGAGAGGGACAGGAAGAGGGAGCCGAGCTTTAAGAAGGTCATGGCTGGGGTGGGAGACGGTGCTGCAACCAGAGAGAAGACAGGCTCTTGGTTTACTAATGAAGGAGAGGTCTCAGGGCCATAGATGTATATGTATAGGGAAGCAGATAGAAGGTTTACTGTGAGACATGCCCGGATGCTTTATGCATGGAAAATATTCATAAAGCAATCGATTTTATGGTATAAAACGTTTAGCTTGGAAAAGGGTATCCATCAGATGTATTTTTTTTTCGAAAAAGTTAAGCTAATAATGTGAACGGCATTTTCTTGCCTGCAAATTCGATGTTAAATGTGTTGGTGCTTATGTATAGGTCATGTCCATCTCAGATCAATTCAACCCTTGAGAAAAACCCCCTTGGCAAGACCCTCACGAGCATGGATAAGCTCAAGCACCTGAGAGAGAGAGAGAGAGAGAGAGAGAGAGAGAGAGAGAGAGAGAGAGAGGATGGCGATGTGGAGTAATAATTAAATAGTCACATGGCACGATATGTGGACTTCAAAGTGTTGAAGCTCAAAGAGAGAGAATGGGCTTATTCATCACATTGTTATCCTCGTTGTATGGGATTATTCTTTTATTATTCTCTTATTTGCACATGTCATTTGCCACAAATGAGCTTCGTTTTGTTTTTATCTCCATTTTTTCTCTAACAACGACAATACAAAGAGATCTATGGGTCAATTCTTGGTGTTTCTAAATATGTTACATCTGAAACACATTGGAGATGATTCTTAAACATATACCCATAATTAATACTATAAATGATGTCTGAATTGAGGAGATTGTTCAAATGAATAATCATCCACATTTCCCAAAAATGAAAAAAAAAGGTGGGAAAATACCTTTATTTTTTTATGAAGGCTATCACTTGTAGTCGATGCATGTAGAAGCTAGTTGTGATGTGTGAAGAAATCTTGCAACTAATATGTGTTAGTGGGTGCAGTTTTAATTGACTTAGGTCTTAAAGACAAGTTCTCACCATCAATTCCATAGACCTATCTAGATATGTTAGCCATCATTTGGATCAAGTCCAAGACTAATTCAAGCCCATCCCCCCCTCCCCCCCTCAAACCTAATATGGTATATTACGAAATGCTTGGTCTTGTCTCAAACATAGTTACAATCCATTTTTTTCAACCTTTTCATCTTACATTCATATGTTTATAAAAAAGGCAATTGAGCATGAGAAGGACTTGTAAGACCACTAACACTGTTAGTGATCAATGCATACTGATTGAAATGATGCCATCCCTCACTTTTTACAAATGGTTATTGTTTATGAATAAATATATTGATACTCATGACAAGCGAACAACAACTATATTACTTCTCATGTGAGGGGATAGATGAAGAAAGCTATAAATTAATTAATCATATCAAAGAAGATATTACTTACAAAGATGCCCATTTATTGGAATCATGATCATGAGGAGCACAAACCTAAAGTTGATTGTAATATTTTATTGATTAATTTAATTAAATTTGAGGGAGTTCACAAGTCTAGAAATGAGAGAGAGAAGGGGAAACAAGAGAGGTGAGAAATTAGGGTACTTTTCAATTCTTTTTTATTGTTATTATATTTATATAGACAGTTTTATAAATGTGGTACCTTGGATTTGATATAAACTAATATTGATGATAAAAGAGGTGATGAAATTTTAAAAAATGATATTTAGGTTGAGTTATTTTTTAAAATTTTTGATAAATATTGATGCTTATTTCTAATGAAAATGTTTCAAGAGGCTCAAAATAAAAAAAAAAATGTTTGTTATATAAATATAGGAGAGATGCATTATTTCAATGGCCTCTTTTTTTTATTGACAACAATATATAGGAGAGAGATGCATTATTTGTTATATAAATATAGGAGAGATGCTTAATGCATTTAAGCATGATCAATGTCATTATTGTCTTTGGAGGAAATTTTCCTATTCAAATTATTTTTTGCATTTTTTATGATTACATTGCCTATAATTTATATTAATAATAAAATTTGATAATTCAATATCTCACCCAATAATTAACATGGATTACTTACCTTTTTTGTTGTTGCTTATCCACATCCTTCTTCTACATAATGTAGACCTTAAAAAACCATGGGGAGATCACAATTTTGACTCATTTGCATGAATGGGAGGGGATACAAAAACAAACAAGTTATCATAAAATATAACTAATTTTAAGATGTTCTTTTAAAAAAATATATATACAAATTTGCATATGGTAGAAATATGGAGAAATCATTATCATTAATTATACTTTAATGATTGATAAATTATATTTAATGAGTAAAAAAATAATATTGATATTATTCTTCTTATTATTATTATTATTATTGTTGTTGGTGTTGTTGTTGTTGTTGTTGTTGTTGTTATTGTGCTAGTGTAAATCTTGCTCTTAAATTGTAAACAAAGAAATAAATATTTCACATGCCAAACTCGATGTACAAAATAAGCCAATAAATCAATAACTAATTTGTGCAAGTTATAAGATAAATGTGGAAAGCAAGCTTTTGTGAGTACGGAGTGTAACCTTGGATAAAAGTGTAAGAAAATATGAGGCAAAAACTATTGGTTTGTGTTTTGATGTTGAAAATTAATAATAAAATAGAAAAAGGATCATAAAATATGTTATTATTGTATTAATGGTTGGAAGAAGATTCAAATTATTAGATATAATTCATCTGTTGTTTGATTATGTTTTTGAGTATAAAGTAGTAAAGAACTCATCATAGAATAGATACAAAATAATAAAGTTACAATTGAAACAAAAGAAAGATATTTTTAAAAATTGACTGAAGCCATAGTTGTCAACACAAGAAAGTCAACTTGGAGAGTTGAAAAAATTATTGCCAAGTCAAAATTCAAGAGAGAGAAAATCATCATAAGAGATTTAGTTTATTGACCTATAAGTCAACCTAGAAATTGGTAAATCAAATCGTAGAAGAGAGAGGCAAAGATTTTCATTTAGTTCAATTTAATATTGTTAATCAATGCTGGCCCAAGTTAGTTAGCCCAACATATAACCATATGTTGACCCACTTAACACAAATCAAAGAAAATTATCAAAAACCCAAGAAAAGCACATAATTTTTCAAATAACCAAGTCACCTATCCCTCTTTACATCCTATCTAGTCCATCTTTGGACCAATTAGTATTAGAGAGCAGCTTAGAAGATTTAAATATCTCTTAGTAGGAGTCTTTTTACCAAATAACATTATACTCACATACATGTCTTATTCAATACATCAAACTATACTTACTAAGGAAAGTAAAATAAAAATGTTAAGTCAAACAACTTACTTTAATATTAAAAGGATGAATGTTGCATTCCCTCTAATGAACACAAATCATAAAGATCCACAAGTTTATCTAATGTCACTCTACTAAAGTCTTTCTAGGGAGAAAAATGAAATACAAAAGAAGAAGAAAACTACAGTCATTTATATGATCAAAAGAACTTGGAGTACTGCTTCAAAAAAGAAGAAGAAGAAGGCATTGCTCTACTCTCTAGAAATTTTAAGAAATTTCTAAGAGAAGTGACAAATTTGTCACCTAAATAACTAATGAAAATAACATAAATTAAAGAGTATATTTAAAATGTGAGAAACTATGACACTTTTGAGCAAAATTGCTCAAGATTAAAAAAGAAAGATTATTCTCAAAGAAGAAAGACAAAGATTGATGCTTGGAGAGCCAAGGAATCGAGCTCAAATGAAAAGTCATATCTCTCTAGCTAACATCACATATTAGTATTATACCTTCTTCATCTAACTTTGAATTAAGTTGAAAAGAAATCATTGAAGGATTCAATGAATCATTACTAGCATATAGAAACTCTAAAAAGATATTTGAAAATAATATTTTTTTATTAAATAAAATATGAGTTATCAAATTTTAAATCAAAATATGCTAAACTAGAACATCTATGTGAACAAAACAAGAACAAAAACATCATTTTTCAATCCAATTTCTATGATTTGAATAGTTCATTCATTAAAATATGTCAGAGTTAAGATAAATTAAATGAGTGAAACTAATTATAGCTAATCTATAATATTGTCAGCTCTTGAAATCTTTTAAAATCAACACCCAAAGGTCTAATTAGTGCATTTTTTGAAATTGGCAACAAGAAAAAAATAAAAATAAAATCCTGCTAACTTTCTATTTATTTCAATAATATCTTTGAAAATGAATAGTTATAGATATTAATATATAAATAACTCAATTACTAGTGGCATATTCATTTTGTCCTCAAATAAAAATAAATAAATAATAAATAAAGAAATATATTTTTATGTTTAGAAGCTCAAGCTCACATAAGTGCTCTTTTCACAATTAAGATCAACCTTCAAAGCTCATCAATGAGACCCTTTGTTAAGATTAGAGTGGTTCTACAATAGTTACCTTATTTTCTTTTCTTTTTGAATGTCTCTTGTTGAACAAGATTTAACTTGTAGAGGTCAACTTATAGGAAGTCAAAGGTCAACTTGTAGTCTAAGGAGAGGATTGAATAATAGTAGAGTGGGTTTCATACATCTTAAATTGAAATACTACATATTGTCAAGACTATTATTTGGCTATAACATAAGCATAAAAACTGGGGCAAAATTTGTAGATCTTTATGCCCATTATATTCCTATTAACCAAGCCATCATGACTTGATTTATGCATCAAGAAGAATTCATCTGAGGCACTAGACGCCATCAGTGCTCCTCCTTCTGCCATCTCTCGCCAAAGGCCATGAGAATCTCTCGACGACAATGGGGTCCAACTGTGCTACTATTCTCATCCTCCACCAGTTGTGGTCTCCCTCCACCACTACCGGCAAGCTCGAGCAAGTCCACACCTACCTCCTCATTGGTGACCCTCCACTACACTTCTCCCTCTTCCTCTACAACTCCTTGCTCTTGGCCTACACCTCCTCACTAGGGCCCTCAGATGGCTTCTCCCTCTTCGCCACTAAGAGGGCTCACTTTCACTGTCTCAATAGCTCCACCATACAATTCATCCTCAAGGCTGTTGTCAAAGGGAGGTCTTTAGTGTAGGCTTAGCTCCAGCTCCAACATGACTCATTGTGTCTAGCCATCTCTGATGAACTCTCCAATGAAGACAAAGTTGGGTTTAGTTTAATCACAACCATACATCGCTTGGAGTTATAACAGTAGATAAGCAATTACATGAGATGCACTACCAACTTATCCAGCGGTGATTACTCTCACTCTCTCTCACCTTCTTATTGGCTCACTATATAAGAGCTTCTTATGTGTTCGATGTTTTCAGACTCTTTGTACATTCATAGTTTATTCATTCTGTGCATTCATTGCATTCTTCTTTGATTCTTATTTTTCCTTCCAATTTTCAGAAGTTTTTAGAGTGACTTCTGGGTTTATGAAACCAACAAGTGGTATTAGAGCTTAGTAGTTCATAGGATCAAGGGGATGACAAAGAAAGGAGACAAGGCTAGCACTTCTAGCAAGCATGGGGTGGAGATGGTGTTATCAGTGCCATCTCTCATGTTCTCAAAGACTAACTACCGCATTTGGACAGTGCAAATGGAAGTCTTCTTGGATTCTCATGAATTGTCACAAGCAATTGTTAGTGAGAATGTTTCAAAGAAGAAAGATTGATTGGCTCTCTCAATGATCTTTGGTGCTATTCTAGAGGAGACGATGACAATTCTTGATGCAAAGAAGATGGTGAAGGAGAATTGGAAGATTCTTTGGTCACAAAATCTTGTCGTAGATAGAGTGATCTAATCACAAATCCAAGGCCTAAAGTGTGAGTATAAAATTCTCACAATGTATAAAGAAGAATCAATCATGGATTTTGTGATGAAATTCACACGAATCATCTTGGATTTACAAAATTTGAGAGAGACGATGAAAGAAAAGGAGATAGTATGGTGACTTCTATGGGAGACACCCTCAAAATTTGACACACTTACCTTGTCCTTGGAGCAATATGGCGATTTGGACAAAATCAGCCTCGACGAAGTGATTGTCTCTATGCGTTTATGAGTTGTGGTTTAAAGAGCGAGAGGCATGAGAAGAGGAGCAAGCTTTGCTAGCTCGAGCACTAAGTAGAGGAAAATTCTTAAGTGAGGAGGAGTCATCATCTTGTAGAAGAGGCAGACATCTCAGCTGCGATAGAGGCAATGGTAGAAGCCGTGATAGAGGTTGACATCTGTCACATGAAAAGAAAAAGAATCAATTCAACAAATAAAAAGTTCAATACTACAATTGTGAGAAGTATCATCATTTCACTTATGAATGTCGAAGTGCAAAGAAGGAGAAGCCCGATCAAGCATATGTGACTGAGTCTTTTGACAAGTCAAAAGTTTCTTCACTACTGATGGTAATTGTAGAAGAACATAATGATGTCATGCTTCAAAACTTAGAGATTGATCTCACAGACCAAGATATGTAGTATCTTGATACTGGCACTATTAATCATATGTCCAAGAGACAAAGTTAATTTTCTGATTTGGATGAGATAACTTCTAGAGTTGTCAAATTCAAAAATAATTCTCAAATACAAATTGAAGTAGAGGGATTGTCCATATTCATCGACAGATGGAGAGACACTTAAACTCAATAATATTATCTTTGTTCTAAAATTATGTGTCAACATTCTTAGTCTGTGCAGACTTGACAATGAGGAAGACTATCAAATGGTCATGTATGGAGGTTTTTTGACCATCTTTGACCAAAAAGGAGAACTATTAATTAAAGTCTATAGAACGAAGTAGAGGCCTTATTCAAGCCCAATGTGATAAACCACTGTCTGATCACAAAAGGAGATGAAAATTCAAGTTAGTTGTGGTATTTTTGATTTTGTCACTTAAATTTTCACTTACTGAAGGAGATGTCGTACAAGCACTTAGTGGAGGAACTTTTGATTGATTAAGATACCTGATCACATCTGCCAAAATTGTCTTGTGGGCAAGCAACATCAAACTTCCTTCCCCTAAAGCTTTTGAATTCAAAGCCTTAACCCCTCAAGCTTGTTTATATAGACACATGTGGCTTAATTACCCCACCCACATTAGGGGGAAGTAAGTATTTTCTACTTATTGTTGATGACTTCATAAGACTAATGTGAGTGGCTATGCTCAAACAAAAATATGAAGTCTTCGATGAATTCAAGAGGTTCAAGACATTGGCTGAGGTAAAGAAAAATACAAAGCTCAAGTGTCTTCGATCAAGCAGAGGAGGAGAGTTTGTTTTTGACAAATTGAATAGTTTTTGTGTTTCACAAGATATTAAATGGCAATTGACTGCCCCCTACTTACCTCAGCATAACGAAATTGTGGAGAGAAAGAACAAGATAATTATTTCTCTAGTTAGAAGCATGCTAAAAGAGAAAAAAATACTCTAAGAATTGTGGGGAGAGGTTGTAAACACATCGGTATATCTCTTAAATTGGTCTTCCATTAATAGTTTGTAGGGGTTGACTCTATGTGAGAAGTGGACGGAGAGAAAATCTTATATTGGCCATTTATGTGTCTTTGGTTCAATTGTGCATGTGAAATGCACTAGAGGACCACTAAAGAAGTTGGAAGATCAAAGTCAACCTATGGTCTTCATCGAGTACCAAGTTAGCTCAAAGGCTTATCGTTGTTTAGACCCAATTAACGGCACAATTCATATTAGCTGCGATGCTATTTTTGAAGAAAATGACAAGTGAAATTAGGAAAAAATATGTGAAAAGAGGCTTGAACTTACGTTTTTTCTTAATCTTCCTCATGAATAGAGTATGGAGGAGCCATTTGACTCTAAAGATGAAGACAAAATAGAGCAATTTGAGACTCAAGGTGAAACACCGGTCACTCACATTGAGTCTGAAGAAAGTGAGCCATTAAAGTTCAAATCTATTGATCAAATCTACACCAAAATAAGTTCAATGTCAACTATGGATGAAAATTGCATGCTCTCACTTGAAGAACCAACCATTTACACAGAAACAACTTGAGATGACTCATAAAGAAGAGCTATGAGAGATGAAATGGAGGCAATTGACAGTAGTGAAACTTGGGAGCTTCTAGCTCCACCTAATTGCAAGCCAATTTGACTTAAATGGATATTTAAGCTCAAGAAGATGGCACAAGGAGCTATTGTAAGGCACAAAGCCTGACTAGTTGTGAAGGGCTACTCATAGAGACAGGGGATAGACTATGATGAAGTCTTTGCTCCTGTAGTGAGATTTGTCTATATGTGTCCCCATTGCAATTGCTGCTCAAAGAGGTTAGACTTATCTCAATGTTAAGTCTGCCTTCTTAAATGGAGATGTAGAGGAGGAGCTCCATGTGAAGCAACCTGAAGGTTTTATTGTGAAGGGCAGAAAGTAATTTGTGATGAAGTTAAAGAAGGCTCTTTATGGGCTCAGGTAGCCCCCTTGTGCTTGGTACTTCAAGTGAGTGACACTTGATTGTGGGAGTATATGTGGATGACTTGATTGTCACTGAATTCCTATTACGGAAGTGATCTTCGATCAATGAGTTCCTATTTAGGAATTGAAATTAGTCAAGGCACTAACTACATCTGCCTCAGCCAAAGTGGGTATGCACACCGAATTCTTGAGCTCAGAGGACTTCTAACTTGCAATCCCTCTTAGACACTTCTTGAAGTTTGAGTCAAATTCAGCAAGCAAGGAAATAGCACTTGTGCAGATCCCACCAAATTCTAGAGCATCATCAGGAGTTTTCAGTATTTGACTCACACACAAATCGAATTTAATGTTCTCAGTGGGCTTGTTGAGCAGATTCATAGAGAATCTCGCCTCGGAACATCTCATGGCTTCTAAGAGGATTCTCAAATACATCAAGGGAACAATTGACTATGGCCTAATCTACGTGAAGGATCAAATGAAGGATTCATTCATTGGCTATAGCGACAATGACTTTGCTGGTGATGTTGATGATCGAAGATGTACTTCAGGGCAAGTTTTCCTCTTGGGAACATCCATCATCAATTAGGCCTCATAGAAGCAGAAGGTAGTGGCTTTGTCCTCGTGTGAAGCCAAGTACATAGCTGCCACATCAGCCGCATGTCAAGGTATTTGGTTGAATCAGCTCATCGGTGAGTTAAGAAGAACTGAAGAGAGGCCTATGAAATTGTTTGTAGACAATAAGTCTGCAATCACTATGAGCAAGAATCAAGTGCACCACAGTGGAATATGTGTGGAGGAGAAGAAGGTTGAAGTGGAATATGTACGAACAGAAGATTAGATGGTCAATATCTTGACCAAATCGTTGGGAAGACTGAAGCTTCTAGAGATGCGACAACGGTTAGGTGTTCAGAGCATTTGCACGGAGGAGCAAGAGCAAGGAGGAGATTGAAGGCTTAGCTCTAACTCCGCCGTCACTCGTCGTGGCTTGCCATCTCTGGCGAGCTCTCTGATGAAGACAAATTTGGGTGTAGTTTAATCACAGCAGCACATCGCTTGGAGTTATAACGGCGGATAAGCGGCCACCTCATGTGTTCGATGTTTTCAAACTCTTTGCACATTCACGGTTTATTCATTCTGTGCATTCTTGGTATTCTTCTTTGTTCTTGTTTTTCCTTCCAATTTTCAAAAGTTCTTGGAGTTGCTTCTGAGTTTACGAAACCAACATCTGGTTCAGGCCTCTCAGCTCCACGGTCTCTCCTTCAAGCTCTGTCTCCTTTCTTCCAGCACGCCCCTTCGGAACGGGCTCCTCAGCTGCTACTTCCTCTGCGGGACGAAAGAAGACGCACGCCAACTGTTCGACCAAATGATCCAAAGGGATAGTATCTCCTTCAACACTATGATTCAGGGGTACGCTACATCGGGAGACATGGAGAAGGCGGGGGGGATCTTCGCGGTGGCTCCTGATCGGAATCCGGCGAGCTGGACGGCGATGCTCACCGGGTTCTCCGCCGCCGGCGATATCTCGACGGTTAGGAAGTTGTTCGATGAGATGCCCCATAAGGATCTGATTGCGTGGAACGCCATGATATCGGGCTACGTGCAGAACCACCTTCCCCTCGAGGCAATGAAGTTGTTCGTCCAGTTGCAGGCTGCCGGAGGGCCGGCGACGAACAGGATCCTCTCCTCGGGACGGCGCTCGTCTACATGTACTTCAAGTGCGGCATGGCGGAGTGGGCTATGTAGGTCTTCGAGAGCCTAAGGGAGAAGAACTGCTGCACCTGGAACGCCACCATCAACGGGCTCGCCATGAACGGCATGGCCGAGCAGGCGCTGGAGCTCTTCCGGCGGATGCTGCTCCAGAGGGGCCTCTCCCCCGACGAGGTCACCTTCGTCGGCGTGCTCTGCGCCTGCGGCCATGGCGGCTTCCTGGAGGAAGGCATGCGGCATTTCTTCGTCACCATGGAGGAGCTTCGGGTGCGGCATTTGGTTGAGCACTACGCCTGCATGGTGGATCTTCTCGCACGGAGAGGTCTGCTGGGGGAAGCGGAGGAGCTGATCAGGGGGATGCTCATGGCGCCGGATGATGTGGTGTGGAGGGCGCTGCTGGGAGGTTGCAGGATCCACAGGAAGGTGGCGGTGGCGGAAAGGGCGGCGCTCGGCGGTGACGACTGCGTCCTCCTCGCGAACCTGTACACCGCCGTGGGGCAGTGGCGGGAGGCGGAGAGCGTGTGGCGGGCCATGGCAGAGATGGGGGTCAGGAAGGCCCCCGGTTTCAGCTCCGTCGAGGCCGGCGGCGCCGTGTTCCTCTCCGGCGAGCTGCCGGCGCTGCCGAGTCGTCGCTGCTTCTGCTCTTACCAGAGTGGCGAATAAGGGGATGAAATTGGATATATTTTGTTAGTAAATGGGGCCGTGAAATTGCCGAGCAGGATTAAATGTGGGGATTTTTCTTTTTCTCACGTGGACACGATCCGTAATCCGACAAACACTAACGGTCCGAAGGAACCGTCTCCTCCAGTGGATGTTATTGCCCACGTGGCGTGTTGGGTGGCGGCAGCTGAGACGTTCCGACCTGAGCCTGCCGACACCCTTCTCTCCGCCGGCACGTAAGATGATTCTCTCTTTCCATCTCTCCCTTTCTCTCTCTCTACCTCTAGCTCTCTCTCTCTCTCTCTCTCTCTCTCGCTCTATCCCCTGCGAACCAGAGCATGTGGAGTTAGGTCGGGATACTTTGTCGGGGAGCAGTGTGCATGAACACTCCCTGTGGTGGTGGTGGTGATGGCGTCGGGTGGGAGTCAGCGGTGGCGAAGGTCGGCGCCGCGAGCGGCGGCGGCGGTGGCGGCGAGGAGTCGCCAGAGTCGGTCAACCTCGCAGAGGACGTCGTCGGTGGGGAGCTCGAAGCGGCAGCAGGGGCACGTGTTCCTCTCCCTCAGCCACGGGAGTATGCAACCCCAGTGGAACACGTGGCGGCACGGCAACTCGCAAGCGTCCCTCCCCTCCGCCATCTCCTCGCCGCACACCGCGCACCCGCCGCCGCCGGGCTCGACCGACGGCAACGACACGACGGCGGCTGCTGACGCCGCCACCGCCACCTCGCTCCCCACCTTCCCAGAGACAGCCGACACGAGGCGGCGGCACCTCGCCACCAGGTCCACGTGGCGCCCCACCGCCATTGCCCACCCGCCGCCGAGCGGCTCTCTCAGCACGACCGCCGCCATTCCGGCCCGCCAGTCGGAGTCTGACTCCCATGCGGGGTCGTAGGCCTCGCAAGAGGAGAGGAGCAAAACTCCAGCGTCCAAATCCCGGAGGGCACCAGCGGCACCGCCAGAGGCACCGGTGGTACCGCCGGTGAAGGGGTGGGCGAAGCGGGAGAGGGAGCGGAGGAGGAGGCGGGCCACTAGGCGGGCCTTGTCGGAGAGAGAGAGAGAGCGGAGGAAGTCGGCGGCGACGGCGAAGTGCGACGGCGAGAGGACCAGCCGGAGGAGGCGCCGCCGGCGGAGGCGGAGGTCAACGGATAGGTCAGCGGCGAGGTCGTGGAAGTCTCGCGGGGAGAGGGTGGAGAGCGCCGCCATGATGACTTCTTCGTCGTCCTCCATAGACGGCGGCGATGGAAGAATAGCCGGTGTTGACCTTTTTTAAAGGAAGCGGTCATCTGACTCGCGCGCATCTTATCCTGGCAGGAGTTACCTTCCACGAGGCGAGACTCGGACTCTTTATATCGCCACGTCGGCGGGCAATATCCTTCAAGGCTAAGCTGACCTACCGCTAGAGTAGGATAAGCAAAAGCAAGCCGCTTTAATCGGTACGCGTTGGACTTTCTCTGCCACGGGTCCGGGGCTTTGTCCGCACGTGTATGGACTGGGTGAGAGGGCAGTGTTTAAGCAGACGTGGCACGTAACTAACCAGTAGGCCAGGGGCCCGCCACGTCAATCTCTTCGTTGGCGGCGCTCAGGTGGCGACGACATTCTTGCGGACCCGGGCAAAAACGACAGAAAAGGTAGTAACTCCTGGAGGTCCCCACCCTCGGTTGGCATTCGACCAATGAAAAGCGGCCACGTGCCAAGGACCTCACCTCAACCCGAACCAAAATAGCCGGGCCAGTCTTATCCGGGCCCGAAAAACTAGCAAAGAAAATGGAAGAACTCTATTCGGATCCGAAACAGAATGGGCCGAGCCCAAGGCTAGCCGAAGATACTATCTCAAAGTTAGGAAACATGAAAAGTCAACCCACACAGCCAGCAGCAGCGGGTCAAACCGCATAAAACCCACACAGGAAAAAAAAACAGAAAACCACCCATTTAGTTTTGTTTCACCTCAGATCATCGCGGTCACAAAGAGATAGACGGCGAAGAACAGCAGACCAGAGGCGACTGGAGCTCTCACGGCGGCAGCGGCGCCGCTGCCGCTGCCCTGGACAGTGGAGAGGTTCCCCTGCGGGGTGGCGGTGCTCAGGACAACCACCACCCAGTTTCCTTCAGAGGCAACGCCGGCCCCGACATAGCGGCTGTCATTAAGCTGCTGATTGTACTGAGATTTGGTGAAATTGGTGAGGACGATGCTGGGGACGAGCCCGGGAACACAGGCGGGGAGGATGGCGGCGTCCTTGGTGACCGAGATGTCGAGCTTGCAGCGGGACAGCAGGGTTGGGTAATCCGGGATTGGGCCCTCGGAGCCGAGGATGGCATTGGAGCCGGTCGAATTGGTGCACGGCTGCCCCTCGAACTTGTTGGCGATTTCATCGGCCAAGCAGTCGGCGTTCTCATTCTCCGTTAGCACTGACAGGTTCAGGGACGCCCGGTAGCTGTTGATGTCTCGGAGCAGCTGCTCATCGGCATCTGTGGACTCTCAAGAGAGTTAGGTCGAGCTAATTAATTCATTTGTTGGTAGGTGGTCAAAGGAGAGAGATTCTTTGGTCGTCTTCTTGGGCTAGAAGAAGTCAGAATTCTTGGCCGCAGTTGACCGGATTCCCCATGATTCGGGTCTCAGTTTGATATTATCAAACTGAAGTCAGTTTCTAGTAAGATATATGGTCTTAAGGAAAAACTAACTGATAGGCGGGTTGACTTCTCCTGTTCCCCTTTGAAAAGTCTCCTCATAATCAGTGTCATTATTCTTTCTCAAGAACCTGAACCTCCACTTTCCACATAAACTTAGCATTTCAGCTGCATCCGTGCTCAGTCAACCCCTGCAGAATGCTGCCCCCTCTTTTACTACTATAAATAGTCAATTACGACAACAATGCTTTAAGCAGAAAAAGTCAATCACATCTAGAAAAAGTTGCGCAGTGTCCTCAGTGTTTTCATCCTGTGAAAGAGAATCTACAGGCTCTTCAGTTGACCCACCTGCAATCTTGCTCCTATAATGGAATCAAAGTTCATATCATCTACAAGGCGTGATGGATCTACTTAGCACCAGAGAAACTTGATGGGTAGCTCGTGATTTAATGAGGGAGAGTGGCAAAGGTGATGAGGAGACTTTAGCCTCCAAGGCCAGTGGAGGATCAATGTATTATGCTTGTAGTTGTTCTAACTATTGGAAGATGGCAACTCCATGCTGTTCTCTCTCTCTCTCTACCTTTTGTTCTTCCTCTATTCAGCTCCACCTAGCAATCGCAATGATCCAAAGTTCACACACCTAGATGAGGGAAATGTAATTTTTACAGATCTTTAACTGAGGCTCGACTACGGTAACCTACAATTTCTCTCTCTCTCTCTCTCTACCCATTGTTCTTCCCCTATTCATCTCCACCTAGCAATGGCAAGGATACAAAGCTCGCACAGGCAATCCTAAGGAGTGGTCAACTGACATTCAACAGAAGCAAGATCTGTCCTATTGAGATTATATCGGTGACCTTGCCGTGTATATTAGAAAAGCATGCTGGTTACGAGCTGAGTAACAGGATCGCGCAACAGCGCCATAGTTACCACGGCACAGTGCCCGCGATGAAGACAGAAAACGAAAGGGAAACCTCTCAATCCCACATCCCGCGCTGCTGATCAAGAATGTGGGAGAAAAATACGATCAACAGATGGAGAAAAGAAGAACGAACTTACCGTCTGATCTGGCTGCACCGAAGAACGAGGCCACTGAGACGGCGACGAGGAAGAGGATAAGAGAGGAGGCAGATGACATGCAGAAACCAGACCCAGCCATCTCGCCGCTGGATCAGGGAGGGAAGGAGAAGGAACAGGGGAACTGAATAGGGTGGAGAGGAATGAGGAATGAGGAATGAGGAGTACACAAAGAGAGAGAGAGAGAGAGAGAGAGAGAGAGAGTGTCGGCCAGCATTGGTTTTACTTTTACTTTTCTTTACGCTTTTCATGGAAAACTATACTTTTACATTAACATTTTCATTTTAAACCCTGTGAAGATACACTGATAAATTAGACCCCTGACAATTTTCCGGCAACAAAAAGCAGAAGTTTTCTGCCACCACTTCCTTCTTTGTGTATTAGCGCCAATCTAGCCAAATCTCTCTCTCTCTCTCTCTCTCTCTCTCTCTCTCTCTCTCTCTCTCTCTCTCTCTCTATTTATCTAGATGGGGATAAAGTGAGGCCTCCAAAGTCAAGGCCAGATCGTTAGAAGATGATCATTTACTCTTTTGTGCAACAAATTATAGTAGAAACATGAGACATAGAGGAGAATCGTGAAAGATACAAATTTTATGTGGTTGGAATAATCCTCCAATGTCCATAGTCCCATATATTATTTTCTTTAGAGAGAGAATCATCTCACTCTTATATATTATTAGGTTAACAGATGATAATCATCTCATGAGATTAAAGAAACTATGCATGAACTCAAGCATGCATCATCACTCAAGTAGAGCAAAAAACTATCCCACAAGGATAATCAATGGGTTTACACTAATTAACAAAAAAATCACACCTTGAGCAAATGAATTAATAAATGGAATAAAAAATCTATAAAAAAAATGATCACATGTTCTAGATATGCTTGAGAAAATAATCTGATTAATTACAATGAAAATGAAAATAAATGATTGCCTATCATAGAAATGGGTATATAATCATCTTGTGAACAAATATCATATCATAGAAAAATCACAAAATTATATCATTTCCAATCAAGAATGTGTCTATGCCTACCAATAATAGGTGAATGGATTTGCTAATACACTACAATAGTTTGTAAAGACTTCAATAGTAATAGTCATGACATGAGATATTACTACACAAACACAATATTGATAACTCAACGTAAAAATGTGGACATGAACACACATAATACATCAGCATCATGCATAACCTGTGATAGAAGGTGAAGCATCAATGATGGTAAGAACACCAACCATTTAAAGACAAAGTATCATGTGACATGATGTGTCAATGCCTACTAGTAATATGTGAATAGCTTTGCTAATACACTAAAATAATTTGCAAATATTTCAACATGAATAGTCATGACATGAGATATTATTACATAGAGTATTGACAACTCAATGTACAAATGACGACATGAGCTAAAAACATGAACACACACGATACATCAGCATCATGCATAACATGTGTCTGCAAAGAATAGGTGAATGGCTTTGCTAATATGCCATATTGACAACTCTCAACATACAGATGTCAATATCAGCTCAAAACTATAAACACACATCATACATCAACATCATACATAACATGTGATAGAAAGTGAAGAATCATCGATGGCAAGAACACCAGCCATCTAAAGATAAAGTATCATGTGTTTGTGCCTACCAATAATAGGTGAATGGTTTTGCTAACACACTATAATAATTTGCAAAAACTTTACCAATGGTGGTCATGACAAGAGATATTACTACAAACATCAACGTGAGCTTGTGAAAACGATGATAAGAACACCAACCATCTAAAGGTAAAGTAGGTTTTTGTGATCTCCTTTAAAAGAGGCATACCTTAACCTAAATAAGTAAACTGATTATCTCAAATGAAGCACCAATAGCCACATGAGTGCATGCTAAAATTGTCTTAAGACAAAGTATCATGTGAATAGAGGCAGAGCTTAGCCTAGATGAGCAAAGTAGTTATTTCACGTATAGTGTGAATAGTGTACTTATATACAAATATGGGTCTCTTGAGAAGATAATGCACAACTAATAGTTGCTCCTTACACCGGACAGTAGAGAGATGTAACGTATACTTCTAAATGCAGAGGAGAGAGAGAGAGAGAGAGGGTGCGGGAAAAAAGGGAGAGGGTCGTGGTTAAAGCCCTTTGGATGACCATTCAACGCGACCGCTCACCTCGTAACCTCGATTTCTGCGTAGCTCCTCACCTTCCCTCTTGGGGAGGGGGGGCGCTTGCTTCCTTCCGTCCACCGCCCCTAGCGTCTGCAGGAAGGAGAGCAGTCGACTGCCGCAGCAACGGGTCGGGCGGCGGCGGGGAGTGGAGGAGAGGGAGAGAGAAGGTAGGTTGGCTGAGGAAAACCATGGAGGTGCGCAGGTTACAGAGACAGTACGTGGAGTTCGCCTCGTCCCTCTTCCGGGAGGTGCGTGAAATGGGGTTTCCGGGGGGTTTTGGGTTTCTTCCTCGTCTCTTTCCCCCGCGCGTTCTCTTCTCCGTTGTATATATACAGATGGGAAATAACGTCCTGATGGGGGGTTGATGAACGGGGTGGGTTTTAGGGGTTTCTGGACGAGCAGTTCTCGCAGGTGCAGCAGCTGCAGGACGAGACCAACCCGGATTTCGTCTACGAGGTGGTCACGCTCTTCATTCAAGACTCGGAGAGGCTGCTCAGCGAGCTGGCTAGGTCCATGTAGGGATCTCAGTGACGCTGAATCTTCTCCATGCTTTGCTATTTTTTTGTAGCACTGTTCCATTGCACTCCCACTTCTTTATTATGCTCATGATTGTGCTTTTTGTGGCCTTGAACGTCTTAAAAGAGACGAGCAACCTGTGGATTTCGTGAAGGTTGATGCGCATGTTCATCAGCTGAAGGGCAGCAGCGCCAGGTGATCCTCGCACCTCTCTCATCCATTTCAAGGGATGAATCAAACCTTCTCTCAGGGTCATGACCCGATTTCTCTCTCGTTTGGGTTCCCTAAAACTGATTTCTTCGTAGCAAATGCTCTGCCTGTTATCCGTCTCTACTCAACCTTCTACAAATGGATTTTTACTGGACAGCATAGGTGCCCGTAGAGTCAAAAACGCTTGCCTGGCCTTCCGGAGCTCCTGCGATGGGAACAACTTCGAAGGGTGGGACTCGGATGCTGCTCACTCCTTTTTCTTCTTCTTCTTCTTCTTCTTCTCTCCCATCGACTGCTTAATCCACAGTCGTATCTTTCTTCCTTCTTCTTCATAAAGATTGTTGTTGTTGTTGTTGTTGTTCTTCTTCTTCTTCTTCTTCACTAATTCTGAACAGGAATCCTCCTGATGTAGGTGCCTGAGATGTTTCCAACAGGTTAGAAATGAATACTCTCTTGTGAAGAGCAAGCTCGAATCTCTGCTAGGGGTAAACACCTTTTTATCCCCAAAGGAACCTTATGATTATATTCGTGTCATTTACTAAAGAAAATCATTTTGGCTGACTGTGCTGGATTGCAGCTGGAGCAGCAGATCATGAGGGCTGGTGGGTCGGTTCCAACTTTGAAGTGTTAGTGGGTTCTTGTGTGCAGGAAGAAGAACATATTTTGAAAGGGTTTTTGGGATGTAATGGGACCATCTAATAGTGGGCAGGACAAATGGGCTCGAAGGGGGTTTTCTTGTTGGGTTTGTGTCTCTCCCTTGTCTTCCCTATCTCCTGTGCTTTCCAACTCTATTCGGTGCACAAACAGTCTAAGTTATACAGCGGGGGCTGATCCTCGTATACTAGAGCTTCAGATTCTCATCTTCTATTCCCCGCCTTCTTACTGGTTCCATCTCAATTGAATTCTCTTCTTGTCTTTTGATCAGAGAATCTCAACCGCTGTTTTCTTTCTCTCGATTCTCACAAAAATTGCATCTTGAACAGAACCTAAGGGGTCTAGTTCTCCGAATTTGATAGAGAAATCATCATCTGTTGCATTCTTTGATGTATTCCCCGAGATCACAGGCCATGATGCCCCAAGCTAGGGTTTTGCTCAATCCAGTGATGACCCACAGCATTGGGCATGAATATTTCATGTATAGAAATATGGACTAAAGTGGGGTAAAGTACCACTATGCGAAATCATCATCTGTCGTATTCTTTGGTGTATTCCTCGTGATCACAGGCCATGATGCCCCAAGCTGGGGTTTTGCTCAATCCAGTGATGACCCACAGCATTGGGCATGAGTATTTTCATGTATAGAAATATGGACCAAAGTGGGCTAAAGTACCACTATGCGAAATCAAAGCATGAATGTCTCCTGGTAGATCTTGTGATAGAATGCATGGAACTGAAGATTAAATACTCCTAGCCTAAACTATGTACTTTCCATGTGCAGTGGGTGCCCAGCTTCAGAGCTGCAAATAAGTCGGTTGCTTTTACATTCATGAGAAATGTGTAGAACAGATCGATTTTAATGTGCCATGTTGTTCTTTCTTGAGGAAGAAAAGGTTATTCGAGTAAATTATTTCTGTCAAAATTGAAATAGATGAATCAAAGTTCTTGAAAGGGTCTTACTTTGTAATTTTCTCCTTTATTAAATAAATAAATATCTAATTATTTCTATGTATGTATGAAGGTCACTGATTTAAACCTACATTTTTTCTTCCTTTATATTTTTTTATCAATCCACTCCCTTATGAAATTAGATGAAGCAAAGTGTCATAGTAGGCTGTCTATAAGTTCTTGAAAGGGTCTTACTTTGTAATATTCTTCAATATTTATATATATATATATGTAAAATTATTTGTATTTATATATGAAGGAAATTGATTTAAACCTACATTTTTTTCCTTTATGTTTTTTTTTTATCAACCTTCTCCCTTATTTTCAATACGTTGACTTTCTTTTTTCAACTCCATCCCTGGCTTCACGCTTGCATTATTTTTCCAATTTCTCCTTCACTCGCAGTCATCAAGAAACAGCAGCTGCTAGACAGGGGGTCGTCACATGCCATACCAAAGAGATTTTATCCACGGAGGGTTGGGTCAAACAGTGGAAGTAGGCTTCTGGGTGGTCAGATCGATGCAGAGGGTTGACCAATCTGTTTCGCCTATAATCTTGCGCTTGTTGCAAAAAAAAAAAAGGGTCAACTCCAAGATTACCTGGCCCGTTCAATTCTGCTCGTTTTTCTGACTCGGTGGAACTCAGTTAACTCAGACCCATCTCGAGTTGTGTTCCTGCCTACGAGGAAAATGGAGATTCATCATGATTTCTCTCCCTTTAGTCACTGTTTGATATAATGGTTGTCTTTAATGACGATAAAAATTAAGAGCATATTATTGTGGTGTGTAGGTTTAAATAAATAAGAAAATGCCTAAAATATGAATTCAGAGCCAGCTATGATATTATTTTCTTAAATTCATAAAATAGCGGAAATAAATCCAATGGTCTTGCGTCACACAGATCTTCTCAACCACCTTGCCAAGTCACACAAATCATTCCAAGAATCTGTTTTTGCCATCAGAATGGGCCCCGGAAGATGTTCCACTTTCTTGAGCCGCCAGCATTATATAAATATTTTTTTTAAATGGGCAATTTTGAGGGATAAAGATGTAAATTCCAGAGTCCCACCCGCAGCAATTATTTCTTATAAACTTAGGATTTATATCCCCATCATACCTAAAGTTTGCACGAATAACTGCGACAGGGTTGAGGACGTTCAATCAAGCGCCTCTCCAGGTACGAAGTGTGCTTGACCGACCGCACGAGGCGAGAAGATGGTTGCCAGAAGGGATTCTCGTTTCTCATTCCACGAAAGACTTTCGTGCAGAATGTATTCATTCCAAGGCTCTTCGGAAGTACTCTTTTCAGAAAGTATTCCGGGGTCCCATGCGTTATGATGACGTACTCATGTCCAGGGGCCTTGTTTTTTCCACGTCATCATTGGGTTACAGGCGTTAGTGGAGCAAATGAGTGAAGATTGTCTGGGCCCACTTTTTTTGTCCATATGGCTCTCTCTCTTCTCTCTCTTTCTCACTCAGAGACTGGTAGGGTGGTCTACCTGGCATGGGCCAACTTTTTATTGTCCACGTGGTTCTCTCGCTCTCTCTCTCTCGGAGACTGGTAGGTCGGGTCTACCTGGCCTGGGCCCACTTTTTCTTGTCCACATGGCTCTCTCTCTCTCTCTCATGGAGGCTGGCAGGTCAGGTCTAGCTGGCGTGAGTGGGCTGGGGTTTCTAAACTGGCCGGACCTGAAGTGCAAAATCCATTATTACTAAGACTTTTCTTCGCGTCCAGACTTTTATAATTATGAATAAACTTATTTTTTTAATTATTTCCCTTTTCCTCTCGCTATGATTGTGCTCGATACTCCGTGGGCCCCCCATCGCAACCTAATCCCATGAGACTAGCCTCCTGCCACGTCCGATTTGGATGGACGGTCGTGATTCTTCATCTACTCTAGGCTCTCTGTATGATTGGGGGGGGGTGGGGACCATTCTCCGTAGGATGGATACGGTGGACGTCTGAAAACGACAAACTGGTCCACACTCGTCAGCGCACCGCTACCGTGCTGACAGAAATTGACGAGTGAAACGGACCAAAGAGAAAGCGGGAGGGATTTTCCTCCGTCGGTTCACCTTGGACAGCATGCCCTTCGACACTTCTCCGGGTGCGAAGCGCAACGCACCGGCGATCGGGGACGTAGGTTCTGCTCTGTTCGCTTCCGCTTCCGTACGCAGTCGTTTCCCAAGCGCTTCCAAGTGTGTTCTCTTCCGTGGCTCGCTATTCGATGGCCAGGTGGCACGGAAAAAACGACCGTTGCTAATGCTTGCTTCAGCCACTCATGGGGCCCATCGGGATGCTGAATCAAGCCTCCCAGAAATCTCCTAGACCGGTAAGCGTCCGGCCAGAGTTATTTGTCCGACGTGTCGGTCACAAGGGGACCTGGCTTCGACAGCACGTGCCCCGGAGCCGGTAAAATCCGTAGGCTCGGAGGATCCACGTAGGCTCGGAGGACCGTTTGGGGCTACCGGATCTGACAAACAAAACGCCATTCCGCTATCGGCCATTCCTGTTTCCCTTTCCCAAAGCCTGTGGGAGCGACTCTCACCGTCACGAAGAAGGAAGAAGGAAGAAGGCGAAGCCGAGGAAGAAAGGAGAAGAAGACGACTCTCACCGTCACCGTCGTCGTGAAGCTTCTTACTCTTCCCCTTTGAGCAGGCCAACATCGTTGGCGGAGTTCTTCAGACAGCTGCCGGCGGCTGCTTTTGTTGGTGTGCCCGCCCGCCATTAAAGCTGCTCAGGGCCTCATCAGAAGGGCACGAGATTCTCGCAGGTGTCTCAGCAGAGGGAGTCCACCTTCTCCCCGGGGAGCGGAGCCCTGGATCGGGCGGTGAAGCAATGGAAGGCGGAGACTCCGTGAGGAGGCGGAGGAGGCCAGCGGGGGAGAGGAAGACAGTGGGTCTTCTGGTGGCCGTTCTGCTCGTCGCCGTCGCGAGATTTGTGGTGGTGGCGGCGATGCTGGACCCAGTGGACTTTCTCGCGCTGCAGTCAATCCGCAAGGCGCTGGAGGACGCCCCCGGATCGCACTTCTTCTCGTCCTGGGACTTCACCGGCGATCCCTGCGCCTTCTCCGGCGTCTTCTGCGCTGGCGACCGCGTGGTGGCGCTATCTCTCGGCGACCCACGCGCCGGGTCCCCGGGGCTGCTCGGGAGGCTCGACCCGGCTGTGGGGCGGCTGTCGGTCCTGGCGGAGCTCTCCCTCGTCCCCGGCAGGGTCGCCGGGCCGGTGCCCTCCGGCATCGCCCAGCTGGCCAACCTCCGTTTCCTCGCCCTGAGCCGAAACTTCCTCTCGGGGACGATCCCACCGGGGATCGGCGCGCTCCGCCAGCTCCGCACGCTGGATCTCAGCTTCAACCAGCTCTCCGGCACCATCCCGGCGAGCCTCGGGGCCGTCCCCGCGCTGTCCAACCTGGTGCTCTGCCACAACCGCCTCTCCGGGACGGTGCCGTCGTTCTACTCGCCGTCTCTGGTGCGGCTCGACCTGAAGCACAACAACCTCTCTGGGGAGGTCACCGTCCTGCCGGACTCGCTCCAGTACCTGTCCCTCTCCTGGAACCGCCTGGAGGGGCCGGTCGGCGGCGTGGTCGCTCACCTGGTCCAGCTCAACTACCTCGACCTCGGCGTGAACAGGTTCACCGGAGCCATCCCCTCGTCGGTCTTCTCCTTCCCGCTCACGAGCCTGCAGTTGCAGAGGAACCGGTTCACAGGGTCAGTGTTGCCGCCTGAGGAGGTGGCAATCCCCACGGTGGACCTCAGCTACAACCGCCTCTCTGGTCCCATATCACCGACCTTCGCGGCGGTGAGGAGCCTGTACCTGAACAACAACCAGTTCACCGGGGAGGTTCCGGCGAGCTTCGTGGCCAGGCTACTGGATTCCGGCATACAGATCCTGTATCTGCAGCACAACTACTTGACGGGAATACAGATGAACCCCACGGCGGAGATCCCCATGAGCAGCTCCCTCTGCCTGCAGTACAACTGCATGGTGCCGCCGGTGGCGGCGCCGTGCCCAGTCAAGGCTGGCCGGGTGAAGACCCGCCCCACCGCTCAGTGCGTCGAGTGGAGGGGATGACGGACGGAGGTCGGTGCGGTGCTTCTCTCGGCTTCCTTAGATTTCCACGGCGGCCTTCGATTTTCCGGGGCGGGGACCTGTGCACAAGAAAAAACTTGGAGAAGGGGTAAAGTGAAAGAAATTCTTTGATTCGTTTGCTCATTTTGTTGCCACACAGCTTTATCTTTTGGTCCCCGGTCTGCATATCGCCTATTTCCAGGATGACGCGGGCTTTTGTTTTTCTGTAATTTTCTACGTGCTCTCGTGGATACTTTTGTCTATGTTAATACGTTATATTGTGATAATATGGACGTTATTTTCTCTCTCCTCTTCAACAAATCCCGTGTGTGCACGTCTCTCTCTCTCTCTCGCTCTCAATTTGCTGCGGTATCTCCTGCGCAAGACCAAACAGTGGAGAGCGAAGGGAGGGGGAGCGCACTTGGAACCCAAGAAGACGCCTTCATTGTTATCTGATCCAGTGCGTTCCACCGATACCTGGTACCATTTCTGATTGGTAGTTAAGACAGTCGAACCTGTAGAGGTTGGTGGGCAGCCGGCGGCGGCTTCTACTGCGCGTGGCTAAACAGTGGAGGGAGGACGAAGGGAGCGGGAGCCGACGAACGCGCCTTCATCGGTGTCTGATACTCAGGCGCGTGGATACACCCTCGCCGCTCGACACGGTTTCCAATGCCAAACTGTGGAGTCTGGCGCCTGATACCTGATCTTGGACGGTGACTCCATTTGCTATCGCCCTGCATCTGATCCCTGATCCTGGGGGATGAGCGTCCGACTCCCACTTGCCCCCCATCGGCTGCAGTTTCCAATCCATTTGTAAAGCCGTCCCAATCCGTGGAGATCGGATGGCTGGAGGGAGGAAATGAAGGATGCCATCCGGGCCGCCACTCTACTTGCTCTCCATCGGCCGCGACCGTCTGAGGGAGCTCGCTGGCCCCTCTCGTTCTTCGATCATCACCGTCTGTGCCTTCCATCGCCGCCGCTCCTCTTCCCTTTCCTCTGTTATACCATCAGATTCAAAGTATAGACCTCGACACAGTTCACCACTGTGTATACCTGCAAATGGGCGGCCGGAGGAAGAAGATGATGGCTGCCTTCCGGCCGGCGACTCCACTTGCTCTCTGCATCGGCCGTGGCCGTCGGAGGGAGGCTGCCGGCATCTCTGTGCTCTCCACCGCCGCCGCTCCCGTTCCCACTCCTCTTTAAGAACCATCAGATTCAAAGTGGGCTTAATGTATCACTACTATTGGCCCATTCGTACCTGATTCGGATCATTATTGGCGGGAAAATTATTTAGGGGAAAGGTATGCCATGCTGGCGATCCATCATCAACTGACATCAACCAATCAAAGATAAGCTTCCTTTTCCCTCTCTCCTCCGCAATGCTATATATACCTCGCCATCTTCGTGATCGAGGTATGTATTTTACATTCTAGGCTGTTCCATCCAAGGGTTAGGGTTCCAGTCGCCGCGAAACTGCAGGAGAATGAGTACTACTGCTACGACCAAGGGTGGCCGGGGGAAGCCAAAGGCTTCCAAATCTGTCTCCCGATCTCAGAAGGCCGGTCTTCAATTCCCCGTCGGAAGGATCGCGCGTTTCCTGAAGGCTGGGAAGTATGCCGAGCGCGTCGGCGCCGGCGCCCCCGTTTACCTTTCGGCCGTCCTCGAGTATCTCGCTGCCGAGGTGAGGTTTCACGTTCCCGCGCTGATATCTCTGTTTTGACGTCTATGAGGGATCTGTGTTCCAGTCTGATCGCTAGATGTATGTTCCTGTTTTTAGGTTCTTGAACTGGCCGGAAACGCTGCAAGGGACAACAAGAAGAACAGGATCGTGCCGAGGCACATCCAGTTGGCTGTACGTAACGACGAGGAGCTGAGCAAGTTGTTGGGGGCGGTGACGATCGCCAATGGAGGCGTGCTTCCCAACATCCACCAAACGCTGCTGCCTAAGAAGCCGGGGAAGGGGAAGGGTGACATCGGATCTGCCTCTCAGGAGTTTTAGGAGGTGTTTGATCGGTTTTTGAAGCTGAATGTTACATCATCATGTCTGGATGATAAATGGAGTTCCGATATTAGAAAATCGGCAGCTGATTTCGATCGGGATCGTAATGGGAACGGCGATGATTTTTTTCATGCTTTTTGCTATTTGTATAGACTATCTAAATGATCAATGGGGTTTTTGAAGATAAATGTACAAGTTATAGACTTCCTTCCAATCGTCTTCCTTCCATGCCCGACGTAGATGACGGATGCGTTCTTTCGTCCTTGATTCCGCTTATTCTTCGCAGCCAGTAATACAGCTTCCAATCAATTTGCTCGCTCAACTAACACGCGACGTAAAAGTGCTCCGCGCTGATTGTCAAGCTGCTGTCGCTATTATAATATGTTGTTTCTTCTTATGCAATCATCCGTTCATGCTGCCATTGGTGGAGCACATTACAGGGTCTGTGCCCTTGAGCTCTCATATGTCCCTGTGTATGTGGGACCAAAGGAGTATGAAGCGTAGTGCATTTTGCAGTCCAGGCGTTCTGTGCTCTGATGAACTGGTATCATTATGCACTTCACCTCCCACACAAAGGTATATAGCTTTTTGTCGCCGATTAAATATTGTTGGATGTTTCCATTTCGAACTAGATTTCCCCCCTAAACTATGGTGCTTCAAGGCAGAATCTCTACAATTGTTCCTCTATTACTCTATGTGATTGTGGTATTCTTTCAGTCCCTGTCATCTACCTACCCTTCTGTGGTTTCTTGTTCCCTTCCAGCATCTGATCCCCTACATCCGTAGATGGTTTCTTGTGCTCTTTGTGACGGCATGAAGGTACAGGTTCATGCTGATTCTGAAGCAAAGTTTCTCTGGAGCGGCTGGCTAGCTTCTTCACGGTCTGCTTCTCCTCTGATCTCTGAAGCAGTCCGAGGGTAAGAATGAATGGCATTCAGTCAGGCTTTGGCTTCAAACGAGATGAGAAGAGAAGAGAAGAGGAGAAGAGAAGCCTTGATTCTAAGAGAAGCGCCATCTCATGATCTTCCAAATCCAATCGTCCATTGCTGGGCTCGGGAACAGGTCCGAGTCCATGGGGGGAGGGGAAGAGGCTTGTCGTCTAATTGCGTTCCTTGTTTCCGTCGTGGGAAGCGCCACGTAATTTATTATCCTCTTTGTTTTGTCAGTCGATTCGGATCCTCGTCGGCAGTCCCCCACCCCCACTCTCTCTCTCTCTCTCTCTCTCTCTCTCTGTCGGTATGTAGGGGGAGGAGCGGGGATTATTTAACATCAAATGTCCTATGAAAAAATACGATTCACTAAAGAGAGAGAGAGAGAGAGAGAGAGACGGGCAGAGAGAGACAGACAATGGCCTGCCACGTGGTAAGCATTTTAATAAATTATAGGGCGAATTTAATAAATAGCCCGGTCTTCATTTGACATTTTAAAGAGAAATCCGGGTGTTTTTTTTCTCGGGATCCACGTCAGGACGAGATGACGTGGCGTCCCAAAAAAGGCTCACCGCGCTTCACATTGGGGACTGGGGTCAGATAATCCCTGATTGGACTGGTCCACAAGGCAAGACCGTTGGACTCTTGATCTCTCCCTCGGCGGCGGCGCCGGCGACCGGCGGGGAGTCCAGAGGGAGGAGGGGGAGGGGAGAGTCGGGGAGAATGGAGATGCAGTGGGTGCTGGTTCTCCACGCCCTCGCGACTCTGCTTGTGGTCGTATCCCTGCTGTGTGGCCACTGGCCGATCTTCGAGGGGACCTTCATCGAGCGGATCCACTTCTTCATCACCGTCGGCGCCTACGACTATCTCACGTATGTTGAGAAGAAAAGATTATATATGTCTCGTTGTCCCTCTTTTCTTCCTTCGTCTCGTTTTCCTGTTCCGAAGTGTGATTCGCCGTTTCTGATGGGGTTGCTCTTGGGGTTTGGCTTGGAGATTTCTGTGAGATGAGTCTGGGATGATCTCTTCGCGTGTTGAATCTGATGCATCTGGAAGTTTCCTTGGATCCGTCTTTTCTCTCAGAGGCTGTTGGGGACTTCAGGCATACTGGATTTTCGTCGAGCTACTGGATTCAGTGTCAAGTTCCCTCGCTATATAAGAGAATGGAATAACTTGAATGAAAAAATATGCAATTAATGAAAGGGACAGTGGGATTTACCCTGAAAGGAGCTTTATGGAAGTCAGGGGGGAACTTAATGTCACAGCTGAGTTCTATGCGAATTCGAATGCATCTGAGGCACGTTGGTTTTATGTTAATTACCGCGTGATTAGCAACGCCCAGAGTATTGGAACTTCAATCCTGCGTGTTTTAAAATTCGATATCAAGTTCGATGAGAGTCTGAATTCAATTTTTTCTCCTTTTCTTCTGCGTGGAATATGAACGTCGGTTGCACAGTAACTCTTGGTGGAATAGCAATATCTTTGGATGATTTCACCTTATGTGATTGTGTAAGGCTATTTATCTATATATATATATATATATATATATAGAGAGAGAGAGAGAGAGAGAGAGAGAGAGCAGAGGTGCAACTGTTGAAGAATCTTTGGGAGGGACTCTGCATACATCAGCAAGTACAGAATTTTCATCTCATGTATTTCTGATAGGATTCAGAAAAATGTACTTAGAACTGTATTTCGTTATTGAGTGGTTGGTCGTTGTAATTTTTTGGGCTGAATATTTTCATCCATGCTTGATTGACCCTCAAGACTTTCTGCATCTCACTGTCTGTGGTCTTGTGTGTGAAATGAATGGGAATCCCATTGTGAAAATAACTTCATTACGTGCTTGGAATGTGTTCCTTTCCATGATTTCCCCGTAAAGTGTTTGCTGGATTTTTCCAGACGATTTGTAATCACTGCGTTTGGATCTAGAGGCAGGCATCTTTTGTTCTCAGTGGAGCATTACTGTTGCGAGCGGCCAAATCCAATCTTACAGGTTTTTCAATGCATTCTATCTCGATTTAACTATTTATTCCATCCTTTTATTAACAATATTCTGGGCTTGACTTTTCTACTTTGTTTTTTTGCATATCCGCTCAACCTCTTCGGTAAAAGAAAAAAGTTGATTATAAATTCATTTTTCTGTGTATGATTATTCTCATTTATGTTTAATCACCTATCATTAACGAACTGTAACATCTGTCAATTGAACTAATGGGCGGGGTTCTTGGCTTTACTTTTAAAAGGAATACCCATAAAATGCTTTGATTTACCTCCACTTCAGTTTGCTAGATGCCAAACTCAAATATATGCGGGATTGCATTAAATCTTGTCATCTCGTGCCGAGCTTGTGCAAATTCCCTTGGCAAGGAGCAATGTAATAACCTATAGTAGCTGAACTGTTGATGTGCATCCGCAAGGCTTCCCTTCACAGTAGGCGGCAAAGATTGCCCAATTCCCATACGTCTGGAAAAAGGAAAAAAAAAAGTCAACTCCTGGAGCACCCTTTTGGACTTGTGAATCTGAAATAACATTCTTTTTGTTGGGGTTGGTGCTCTTTTTTATTCACTTGGAAGGGAATTCTTGTCATGCCGTACTGAATTGGTGGCATCTATATGCATAATGGAGGGCCGAATTATTCAAACAGTTGGAGTTCATGGCCCCACGTTATGGCAACTGAAGAAGATTCTTTCATGAACTATGACATTGCAGATGGATGGAGGGAGAATGGTTCCGGGAGATGTTCTTCCCATCAATATTTCAGGTCAACGATGAGAAAAAAAAAAGGGGAGAGGGAGAACTAATCGCACTCACATCCCATCCTTGGACTCAATCAATGTGTGCGTTGGTTTGATGAAACTAGTTCATAATTATGGTAAAGAGAAAAACCAGATCAAGGTTGAGGAGACAATGAAGGTATTCCCAGAGACACAGAGTTATAACGAGCTTGGAGGACAATAAATGATCTGAGGAAAATTTTTCTTTTTCTTTGATAAAAAAAATTATTTACACTATATGGAGGAGATTTTTTTTTATCAAAGAAAAAGAAAAATAAAAATTATTGGCAACATTGGTGGGCCTGGTCTGGAAGGCACACCCTGAAGAGAGTGCTGGCTGCCACTGGCTATGGAGGGCTACTTCCATGATCTTCACACTATATGCTGAGTTGTGATTCACTCACTAGCCTCTGATGGGTTTTCCAAATGTTCTAATTACAGTTTTTTTTTTGTTGCAATTTATGAATGATGATTTATGGCTCGGATCCTCTGGTCGATATATTTTAATTCAATTTATATTGTCTGACTAGAAAAGGAATAAGCTTCATAATTGTCTCGTCCATATGCCTTGACTTTTGGAATTAAGATCATTAAGAAAGCATTAATATAAACATGTAGTAGTCCATGCACGACTTCATGGATTCTAATCAATTTGGCTTCATACAGCATATGCTCTGAAGAACCAACAGTTATGTCAGAAAATGGAAATCCTATATATATGTATGTATATATATTCATGAATTTTAAGCTTTTGTGCATATTTTTGTCAAAAAATATAACATTTTTGGGAAAAATAAAATGTTATTTTGTTTATATTATTTGCAGATATTTTACCTATCCATTGTTGGAGTCACATACTATTTCATTGCAAAGTCTTCCTTCAGATATATTCCAGGCTATTATGTGGACGGATCGCACAGGTGGTGCTCTGTTAAGACCACACGATTTCCCATTCTCTGACTCTGCTGCTGAATAAAAATACTGGGATTATCCAACCGTTGACCGTTTGCAGATATCTGAGCATGGTGGGGGTCAGCGTCGGTGGTCTACTTTTCCTGTTGACCAGTTTCTCAGATCCTGGGACAGTCAACGCTGAGAACGTCTCCCAGTACGCCTCTGCCTACCCTTACGACAACATCATTTACGTGAAGAAATTTTGTTCGACCTGCAAGATTCCAAAGTTCGTAACCTTCTTACCGATTGATATACACTTATACGCCTGTGTTTATTTAGTTATGATTTCTGCTTTTTTCTGTGATCTCTGACGTGATTGGCTATTTTTTATCTTAATTTTTTGAAAAAAAAAAAAAGGCCAGCAAGGTCAAAGCACTGCAAGATATGCAACCGATGTGTGGCCCGCTTCGATCACCACTGCGGGTGGATGGTCTGGTTCCAATTATAGTAATGCATTTTGTTTGGAAACAGAGGTGATCTCCCTTGGGTTCGCTTACTTTGCTCCATTGGCTGCAGAATAATTGCATCGGGGAGAAGAACACGCGGTATTTCATGGCCTTCCTGCTCTGGTAACCCTTCATCCTTCGCCCGCTCCCCCTTCACTTTCATAGATAGAGAGAGAGAGAGAGAGAGAGAGAGAGAGAGAGAGAGGAAACTGGGTACTGCCCGTGGTGCCTGATTTCCTTCTTGAGCTAGAGAGAGAGAGAGAGAGAGAGGAAAATGGGTACTACCCGGTTGGGCTCCATGGAGATGCTTTAATCTGGGACATGGGAATTTCTCCCCATCTGTGCAGGCACTTTCTTCTCTGCCTCTACGGAGCGGTTGTTCTGGGACTGATCCTCGCCTGCCAAATGAAGCAGCACAAGATCGTCTACATTCTAACGAGTGAGTTCATTCTAACTTAACCTGCTCCATCATTATCATCATCGTCATCCGGCCCTTGGAAACCCTAATCTCCCGTGCTTCAGCGTACTACGGGATCGATAGCTCCTTCTACAGCCTCGCCCCGCACATCTCTCAGGTGACGACCACGAATCGGAAGATAGGGACCTCTCCCTCTTCTCATTCTAACTCCTCCCTCCGCGACTTCGCAGTGGCTCCTGGCCTCCTACAACACGCAGGTCCTCATCATCGCCTTCCTCACCGTGGTCTCCCTGCTTCTGGCGGGCTTCTTCGGCTACCACGCCCACCTCTGCCTCACCAACACCACCACCAACGAGGTCCGTCTCTTCCTCCCCCTTTTCTCTCTCCTCTCTCTCTCTCTCTCTCTCTCTGTCTCTGTCTCTGTCTCTCTCCCCCTCTCTCGCAAGCTCAAGAAAGAAATCAGGCACCATGGGCAGTTCCAAGCTTCCTCTCTCCCTCTCTCTCTCTCGCTCAAGCTCAAGAAAGAAATCAGGCACCATGGGCAGTAGCGCCCAGCTTCCTCTCTCACTCTCTCTCTCATGCTCAAGAAGGAAATCAGGTACCATGGGCAATAGTACTCTCTCTCTCTCTCTCTCTCGGTCAAGCTCAAGAAGGAACTCGGGCGCCATGGGGAGTAGTACCCAGCGTCCCCTCTCTATGACTCTCTCTCTCTCTCTCTCTCTCGGTCAAGCTCAAGAAGGAACTCGGGCGCCATGGGGAGTAGTACCCAGCGTCCCCTCTCTATGACTCTCTCTCTCTCTCTCACGATGGGTGCCGGTCTGTTCACGCAGACCTTCAAGTGGCAGGACTACGTGAGCTGGAAGACGAAGCTGAACGAGGCTAAGGCAAGCGCGGCGGCGCTGAAGGCGAGCCTCGCCGGAGGGGTGGTGACGGCGCCGCCGGGGGGGGAGCGGGTGGAGAAGATGAATGCTTACGACAGAGGGGTACTGGGGAACCTGGGCGAGGTTGTGCGGCCGCTGTCGGAGAGGGCGCCTTTCTCCCGGGGGAAGAAGAGGGCATAGTCTCGTTGACTGAGAAGAAGACTCACTCACTCACTCACTCTGGTCAATGATTGTACCCTTTGTCTCCTTCCTTCGGAGAGAGATGTAATTACGTTCTACTGGGTTGAGATTAATTTCCGTCCTGATCTTGAGAGAGAGAGAGATGATAGGGTTCTGCAGGAGAGCCTACTTCCATCTCAAGCTTATGAGAGAAAGACCCGGGGGGGCGGGGGGGTGAGGCGAGTGCCAGAGAGAGAGAGAGGGTGGGAGTACAGCCGTGTCGGTCCTTAATTTCATTATTTAATGGGCCCAGATAAATAATCCTCTAAACGGGCCTGACCCGGGATTCTTAGCTCATTAAATATCCCTCTCTCCAGCTTGGTAGGCCCATTGGGCTGACCCTTTAAATACGTCCCTTTCTCTCACCAGATGGGGCTCTATCTCTCTCGGATCTTCCCCCTTTCTTCTGCGTTTGGGGAGAGAGAGAGGGAGAGAGAGAGAGAGCACTAGTAGCGCAGCCATGGCGGGCTCCAGACGCCGGGAGGAGGACGACGAGAGGGACGCCAACGGCGACTTATCGGAGGGTAGATCCAGGGAAGCGGACAAGGAAAACGGAGGGGACGCGAAGAAGGAGCGGGAGCGGGAAGCTAGGTCGGATCGGCACTCGGGGGAAAGGGAGAGGGAGAGCAGAAGATCTGAGGGGCAGCGTAACAGCAGGCACCGCGAGGATGATGGAGACCGGAGACGAGAACGCGATCGGGAGAGGGACAGGGAGCACCGCAACCGGCGTCATGGGAAGAAGCGGCACAGCAACGGCCGGCACGAGGAAGAAGACGGCGAGAGCAGCCCTGAAAGAGGTAGCAGGTCGAGGCGTGACAAGGAGCGAGAGAGAGACAGGGACAGGGATGGCAGTGATCGGCGCCACCGCGATAGGAAGGAAGATAGGGAAGGGAGGAGAAGGGAGGAGGAGGAGGAGGAGGAGGAAGAGAGGCCCAAGGAGGTCTTGCCCCCTCCCCCGCCGCCGCCTCCGCTTCCTGATGCGGTTGCCAATGCCGGGCGAAGCGGCGGGGTCTATATTCCGCCGTTCAAAATGGCGCAGCTGATGAGGGATGTCCAGGACAAGAGCAGCGAGACGTATCAGCGACTGAGCTGGGATGCCCTAAGGAAGAGTATAAATGGACTGGTGAACAAGGTTAATGCTACCAACATCAAGAACATCATCCCGGAGCTTTTCTCAGAGAATCTTATCCGCGGGCGTGGACTTTTCTGTCGGTCCTGCATGAAGTCCCAGATGGCTTCTCCCGGGTTCACGGATGTGTTCGCAGCACTTGTAGCCGTCGTCAACACGAAATTCCCGGAGGTGGGGAAGCTTCTCCTGAGGAGGATAGTGCTGCAGCTGAAGAGGGCTTACAAGCGCAATGACAAGGTAAAGTTAAATGCTCTCTGTTAGCTTAATGGTGGAAGGGAGGCTAATAGTTCAATAAATCATCGCGTTATATTCTTTTCTTTGCAGCCTCAACTACTTGCAGCGACCAAGTTTATTGCTCACCTTGTGAACCAGCAAGTAGCACACGAAATCATTGCCTTGGAGCTGCTTACTGTGCTTTTGGAGAACCCAACGGATGATAGCGTAGAGGTAATACCTGATTCAGATGTGCAAATGCAAAGCTTCTAACGTTGACTAATCCTAATGTTCCTCCTGTAGGTTGCTGTTGGTTTTGTCAAAGAATGTGGATCATTGCTTCAGGATATCTCACCTCAGGGTCTTCATGGTAAGTACACTATTTCTCCAATGAAGATGTTAGATGATCGCTATCATAAGAACTTTTGTCACTTGGCGCATTATTTCAAGCCCAGTAACTCTGATTTTTCTGATCATTCAAATACGGTCTGATTTCAAGAGGAGATGGTCAACCCAAGTTTGTATTATATTCCTCGTCCTTTTCTTTCTGGAATGGTTAGCCTCCGCATGAAAGTGGAAACATATTTGGCATGAAATGGGGAACCCATTCAATGGCCTTTTGGATTAGACGACTCCCTTTTATAATGAAACATTCTAGATACCCATGCTTTGAACATTTATTTTGCTTGTCCTTCTTTATTTTGCATTTTCCCCGCAATTTTTAACTGCCTTGGAGATCATGAAGTATGATGCCCATTATTCTATGAAATGACCACACGATATGGTTCCAGTCCTTGCCTGCGTAGAAGCTTTGAATGTTGGTTTGTGGTGTCCGTAATCCATTCAAATTATGGTTCCCAGAAGATCAGTGCAAATTATATGTATATATATCTATATTCAGCGTGTTAGGATTGAAAGTATTTGTTGGTTATTTTCTCCGAATTTTTCATCTTATAAGAGCAAAGTCATTGTCGGCCATTGCCATCTTTTTAATAGCAAATGAGCATCACTGTTTAAAAAACTAATATACATTAGAAAGAAGTATGTAAATAGAAAAGATCTTTTCAGTCATGCAGCTTAGATGTGTGATGCTATCTAACCTTGTACTTTGCAAATTGTTATAAACCCCAAGCATTTATTTCTTGATTATGTTTTTGCATGAAAGCTTATGATTTGCATGCTTTGTATGGCGTTGGAAACTTTGAATTTTTCACACGTGTTGGGGTAGTTCATATTTGAGGCAACATCCTTCCCATCCATTTTGATCTACCATTTACAATCTTCGTGGAGCTCATTGTAATCTACCAGAAAATGAGCTCTACTAACTTTCTACTAGTGTAGAAAATTTAACTGTCACAAGTTCATGCCTTTTGAGGTTTGAATTGAAATTGGAGTTAAGGCCGTGGGGAAAAAAAAACAGTTTAAAGTGGTATTTTCCCAGGGCCATGTGCCTGTGATTAATCGGAGCAGAATTAATTAATTAATTAATTTTATTTGGTTAACTGTGGTTGAAGAATGACAGAGTCCTGTATTGTCTTTCATTCCACGATCCTTTGGGAAGAGTACTAATGCGGTTTGGATGGATTACTGGTCGATGCTTTCTAGCCATTCAGAGTTGCCAAACTCTGAACTTCATTGGAAGACGAAATTTATTTGGTTTCTCTTGTGGGTTTAGTGTTTAGAATCGGCCCGGATCTACATATTTTGTTCTGAGGTTTCATAGAATAGAATAGGTTTGCCAAGCAACCTTGATGCATGCAGACGTTTATATGTATAATATGAAATTTGTGTCGCCAAACCCTAAAACCCTAAACCCATTTGTGTCACCATATCTAAAATCATTGATTGTTAGATCATATTTTCCTGCTCTTGTGATTGCATCGTTCTTACCAAAATTTTGCAGGAATTTTTGAGCGATTTCGTGGTATTCTCCACGAAGGAGAGATCGATAAGCGCGTTCAGTTCTTGATCGAAGGCCTCTTTGCCATAAGGAAGGCCAAGTTCCAGGTACTGTGGCACATATTCTGAGAAGCACTGGGCTCCTCCTTGGGATTATCGTGGTAACCAGGCTTTCCTGTGGCTCCGTTCATAGGGATTCCCTGCTGTGCGCCCAGAGCTAGATCTCGTGGAGCTGGAAGACCAGTTCACCCATGAAGTCTCACTTGAAGACGAGGTCGACCCAGAGACCGGCCTAGGTTTGCCTCTGATCACTAGTTCCACCTACCTCCGTGGCCATGGCTTCTTGAAAGGTTGAGCATGAGATGGGCTCACTCTTTTGCGGGGACCCTCCTCAGATATCTTCAAGCGGAACCCAAAGTTTGTGGAGGATGAGAAGGCGTACGAGGATCTGAAGAAGAGCATCCTCGGGGACGACGAGAGCTCCGCAGAGGAGGAAGAGTCTGATGCGGGCGGCTCCGACGAGGAGGACGAGTCCGAGGAGGAAGACGAGGAGATGATGAAGATCAAGGACGAGACTGAGACGAATCTCGTGAACCTGCGGCGGACGATCTACCTCACCATCATGTCCAGCGTCGATTTCGAGGAGGCCGGGCACAAGCTGCTCAAAATCAAGCTCGAACCCGGCCAGGAGGTGAGCGAGATCTACCGATTTGCTTATAATTTCCTGGAGTTCTTCTTCTGTGGTGGGTCGACTGATCTGGTTGCGGCGGTGGCGGGGGCGGGGGCGGCAGATGGAGCTGTGCATAATGCTGCTGGAGTGCTGCAGCCAGGAGAGGACGTACCTGCGGTACTACGGGCTGCTGGGGCAGAGGTTCTGCATGATCAACAAGGTGCACCAGGAGAACTTTGAGAAGTGCTTCGTGCAGCAATACTCGATGATTCACCGGCTGGAGACGAACAAGCTGCGGAACGTCGCCAAGTTCTTCGCCCACCTCCTCGGCACCGACGCCCTCCCCTGGCACGTCCTCGCCTACATCCGCCTCACCGAGGAGGACACCACCTCCTCCTCCCGAATCTTCATCAAGATCCTCTTCCAGGTCCTCTCTCTCTCTACCCACATCATTCTCTCTATATACACATCTTTATCTCTCTACCCACTTCATTCTCTCTATAAACACATCTTTATCTCTGTACCCACATCGTTCTCTCTATATACACATCTTTATCTCTCTACCCACATCATTCTCTCTATATACACATCTTTATCTCTCTACCCACATGATTCTCTCTCTCTCTCTCGCTACATATATCTATATTTCTCTACCCACATCATTCTCTCTCTCTCTCTCTCTCTCTCTCTCTCTCTCTCTCTCTCTCTCCGTATATCTATATCTCTCTATCCACATCATTCTCTCTGTCACTCTCTATATATATCATTCTCTCTCTACTCACACCATTATCTCTCTCTCTCTCTCTCTCTTGATATATATGTATATATACTCACAGAATCTTTAAATGTCAAAATGGGTGCAGGAGCTATCGGAGCACCTGGGGATCCGGCTGTTGAACGAGCGGCTGAGCGAGCCGACGATGCAGGACTCGTTCGAGTCCATCTTCCCGAGGGACAACCCGAAGAACACGCGCTTCGCCATCAACTTCTTCACCTCCATCGGCCTCGGCGGCATCACCGAGAACCTCCGCGAGTACCTCAAGAACATGCCCCGCCTCATCATGCAGCAGCACCAGAACAACCCCCCCTCCGATTCCGCCTCCGATTCCGGTTCCGACTCCGACTCCGACTCCGACTCGGGCTCCTCCTCTTCCTCCTCCTCCTCCGACTCCGATTCCAAGACCCGGACCAAGCGCAGGAAGAGGGGCTGAGCCGCGAAAGAGATGAGGAAGAAGACAAGTGTGTGCCCTGTACAGTCACCTGCTTGGAGCTGCCCCGAATCCACGTCGGATTCTCAAGTTCCTCCTCTGACCCGTGCTTGGTATTCCCTGTTTCTCTAGGTTTATATATCCCCCCTTTTTTCCTTTTTTTCCTTTTTTTTTAACGCCTTTCTGGCATCCGAGTGTTTTAGCGAAAAATCCCCATAAAAATTTATCATTTTGTTCCACATATTTCCCACTGCTTGTGTTCGTGTATTATATATATATATATATATATATATAGAGAGAGAGAGAGAGAGAGAGAGAGAGAGAGAGAGAGAGAACGTTTGTCTGGTGGCGTTTTTTTTTCGCATTTTCATATTTTCTACAGCATTTTTTTAAATTTTTTTTTGGGAATCTTCGAGGATGATGCCCTCTCATAATTCGTTGGTCCAGTCGCAGTTGGGAATCCCACTCTGGAAGATGTGACATTTTGGTTATTAATTGATTAATTTATTGCATACTCTATTTGGAAGAAAAATAATTACTGTCTCGACCCAGTCGCCAGTTGGGAATCCCACTCTGGTCAACACGTAGACCTGACCCCCGCCAACGTGACCCAGTCGACCGGTCTTAGTCACCTACCATTGACCAACGGGAGGGGTCGGCCCAGCTAGATAAAGTAGACGTCGGCATGGTAATGGCGTCGGTACTTTTGACGGTTTCCGTCTCCAAGCGATAGACCTGATCGGCAGCTCACGCGCATCCACGTGTCCATCGTCTGTTGACGCGGTTACCCCCACGGCCTCACCTTTCTATAAAAAGGTCCCGATCCCCTTCTCACCCTTCGAGCATTTCTTCTTCTTCTTCTTCTTCTTCTTCTTCGGCGAGGCCATGGGGACGGAGGTTCTGTATCCACAGGACGTTCTCGCAGGGCGGCGCCTCGGATCCGTCCCCTCCACCGCCTCCTTCGTATTCCTCCGGAGGCAGGAGGTTCCCGGCGGCGGCGCTGGCCGAAACCCCAAGCTGCGGCGGAAGCGGGGGGAGGGATCCGGCGAGGCGAAGAACAGTGACAGCGGCGGCCACCTGGTAATGGGGCCGGTGGCGATCCTCAAGCGCGGCGAGTCCTTGGACTCATCGGCGGCTGGTAAGGGCCGTTTGAGGAGGTCTGAGGGAAGGCGTGGTGGCGGAGGGGCTGCCGGAGTCGTCCCGCTGCTGGAGTCGCCGGCGGCGGGCGTGAAGAAGGTAGCGAAGGGGAGGAAGGGGGAGGTGTACGCCGGTTCCGCGTTCACTCAGTCTCCGTCGCCGAGGGCGCTGCCGTTGCCGAAGTTCTCGTCCCGGAGGACGGTGGAAGGTGAAGCGGTCGTCGATCAATCGGCCACCAGGGACCTCCTGCGTCTCCTGCGGCTGGAGTAGGAGATCCGGTCCGAACGGATCGGGCCGGAAGGCTGCTCAGGAAATAACAAAATAGACTGGGAATCTTCGGACGAGTCCCGATTCTAGCCGGGAAGCTCGCGTTGACTAGACCAGGAAGTGTGAGGGCTCCTCCTCTCTGTCGATCAAATCTCTCCGCCGCGTATTTTCAGAAGACGGAGGAGATGTTTGATTCGGGAGAAAGGAGCATATCTAGGGTTCCAATAAATGGCGAAATAGTCGGTGGAGGAAGAAGTTCGCTGCAGCAGTGGAAGCGAACACCGTTAAGACAGTAAGAATCTGCTGCTGCTGCGGTAGCAGCTCAGGTGATCTAATCTGTGTATCTATTAGTGTGTTGAACTACTGTAATATATTAGCGTGATTTACCCCTGTAATCATTATCAAGTCTAGGTTTTCCCCGTTTCTTCCTTCTTTAGACATCCTGCAGACCTAAATCTGCAAGCCCTGTAATCTTCGCCGTGCAATTCGACAAGGAAGTTGCTGTGTACCCTCTTTGTTCATTTTCTTCCCTCTGTCTGCGTCTGGTTCTTGATCGAACACCGACCCGAGTGACCATGATCTCTCTCCATGAAGGACATTCAAAACCAGGGTATCTATCCATCACCTGGGCGGCGGCTTAATCATTCTTCTCGATGGAAGATGGCGGATTCAAGGAGCAGTCTCGTAATCTGCGGGCGGTTCTTCTCCATGATCCCTCTCCCCTGCTGCACTTCTTCTGTCATGATCACGAGCGCACCCGCCTGGTTGGTAAAGTGCCCCCATCTTTCCCTCTCGCCCCCTTTTTCTCTTTCCTCTGCTTGTCTTTTCCTTTATTCCTGGTACCTCATGGCCTGCCGCATAAAGTTTGGTGGGGGAGCTGATGCTCGCATTGAATCGAATCACTGGAGATTTTTCATCGGAAAAAAAATAAATCGAATCATAAAAATTTGATTTATTGGTTTCTACCTGCCCAGTCTTCCATCATATTGAGAGCTCGATTAGAATCTGCGTTAGGACGCTCTAATAATCCAGACAGGTGCTACTCACTTGCCATAGAATTTTTTTTTGGGGGTCAAATTTCTCGATCGAGTTCTTTCTTTTTTAATTTATCCGGATTAATCAGGAAATCTGAGCAGTTGAATGCCAGAAAGTGGGGTCTGGCCTTCAAGAAATTAAATGTATCACATTATTGAGGCGAGAGAATATCATGATGACGTTGAAAGTGGTTCAAGTGATGATAACGTCTTTTAGTTCCATGCAATGAAAGTTTTGGTAAACACAATTTTAGTAATGTTTTTTCTCTTCTTAGAAATATGCTAAAATTAGAAAAATCATGGAATTGGGAGTGGCTGCATCCTTCACACTTGTAGAGAGGAAGGGGTGGTGATTAAGCAGGCATGCGGCATAAAACTCTGTGTTTTTTTTTTTTTTTCGTTGTTGAAAAATGTTGTTGATTTTTCTTATTGATTTATATGCGTAAATGTAAGATAGAATATGAACCATTGGCATAAAAGAGGAGACTTTTTCTACGTAAGATAAGAACCCATGGCTTCTTTGCCCCATAGGACAGGGGCCGTATCTTGCATGTCAAAAAACATGGCCACTCTATATGGGTCGGACAAAGAGTCAACGCCCTACCCCCGCCGGACTCCCCACAGTGGAGAGCCTAGAATTGAGCAGCCTCTCATCCGTATGGTCTACCCATCATTAAAAGGGAGGAATAATTATAATAATAATAATAATAATAACAATAATAATAATAATGATGATAATAATAGTGAGAAACTGTGCAGTTTGGCATAGATTCCATCTGTGGGCACCAACTCGTCGGTTGGTGAGCACGAAGCCTGGGGGGGAGAAGGAAGGGGAAGAAGAAGAAGAAGCCTACCCAGAAGAAGGAAGAAGCAGAGAGGAAGGAGAGGAAGAGGAGGAAGGAGAAGGAGAAGGAGAGAAGGAAGGGGAAGAAGCCTACTCAGAAGGAAGGAAGGAAGGAAGGAAGGAGAAGAGAAAGAAGACGAAGAGCAGGAAGAAGAGGCCTACCGAGAAGAGGAAGAAGGAAGCATAGCCTTTTTTTTAATTTTTTTTAAAGTGAGACAAGAAGAAAAGAAAAGAGGAAATTTTTTTTCAAGGGATGCTCCAGAGCTTATTATTATTACCTCCACAGCAAGAGCGCGACGGGCCTCCTTCCTTCCGCATAGGTTCTCTCTCTCTCTCTCTCAAGACACGTTTAAGAATCTCTGTAGCGGACCCTGATTCTCTGCTGGATGGGAGCCCTGCAAGAGGGGCAGTCCCTCATCCCCTGCTTCTCATGGAGCTCGTTGCACTTGGCGCAGACCACCTGGTGCGCGCAGGGCAGGAACACCACCGACATCTCCTCGCACAGGCACATCACGCATTCCCTCTCCCTCCTCACCTCTTCTTCCTCTTCCCCCTCTTCCTCTTCTTCTTCTTCTTCTTCCTCTTCCTCCTCCGCCGCCGGGAACCCGCCGGAGTCCCACCGCGGCGCCGCCGCCAGCTTCTTGGCGGGGTCCGCCGCCGTGAGCCTCAGCCGGGCGATCTCGGCTTCCAGTCTCCGGATCTCGTCCTTGTATCCCCTCAGATTGTCCTCCGCCTCGGCTTTCATGGCTTCTTCCTCAGACTTTGCGGAGGCCTCGAGCAGCTCCCGCTCCTCTCGCTCTGCATCCGCTCTCTTGAGCGCCTCCGCTTTCATCTTCTCCTCTTGGACCCACCTCGCCTGCAGGTTCCAGTTCCATCCCATCATCATCATCATCATCATCATCATCATCACAGAGAGAGAGAGAGAGAGAGAGAGAGAGAGAGAGAGAGAGAGAGAGAGAGAGAGAGAGCAGATGATCCAATGGTAGCATGAATTAATGGGGATTTTAGAACTAAATTACTGAAGAAAATGAGCTCATTTGACAGAGGCTGAGCAACCTAGAAATATCACGATTCAAAGGAGAACCCACAATCCCCTCAACCTACAGCGACTTCCATTGAGAGAAGGTTTGTAAAATCAGAAATATCAGATCATCACTTTGGGGAATTCTCACTTCTTACCTTAGATTGGATTCCCATTCAGATCATAATAATTTCCTCTCCCGCCATCTCAAAGTTACTAGTCTCCAATATTTCATGAGAACTTCCTCGAACGAGGATCAAAATAAAATAAAATACAGGTAAGAAAGTAACGAGAATGGAAACGTTGACTTCTCGTTATAGGCCCCCTTCTCTCTCTCTCTCTCTATCTCTCTCTAGATTATCAGTGAAGCCAAACTTGATGTTACTATAGATGGATATGAAGAAATTTCTGTACTCATGAATGCTCATTCTACTGATGCTGCAGATAAGAATAGAACAGACAAGACAGGGGAGGGAGGCTGCATATTGGCCGGAAAAAAGGAAATTGCCATTAATAGCTCTGATAGGAGGAAAAGCGAGTCTCATCCTTCACACTTTCACAAATATCGTAGTGAATAGGAGCATGGTAGCTAAGAATAAACACAACTCTGAAATTATTTAACTGCATTAATACGGCAAACATTCGTTTAATATTGTTCACTTTGTTTGTATAATGCTTGCTCTAAAAATTTGTTGGATGGCTTCTCCTTCTCTATAGTTACTCTCATCCATCTTCAGGAAATAAATAAATTAACAACAACATGAAGCAGAACCGAAAACAGGAGAACACCCAAAGAGTAGATCAGCAGACAAATTACCCGAAACTTAAAACGTTGATCTTTTCCCTAAGTGTAAATGGAGCTCTCATATATATATATATATATATATATATAATTTATTTATTTTCTGTACTCGAGTGTCATTGATGCAAAACTCAACCAGAAGGCACGGCGTTCAATCACAACCGAAAACATAAAACAATCCAATAAAATGAAAAAGGCATTCAGGTTCTCAATAAGTGGCAGCTCTAGATTTGCCATCAGTGTACGCGGAATGCAACCTCCCGTCTATAGAGATATTCAGGTCTAGACTCACTGCCTTAATCTACCCTTCATTGTGCCCTAGTGCTATGATCTGTGGAGTGAATAAACTGATCGCAGAGCAAGAAAAAGGAACAAAAAAAGAAGAGAAAGAAATATTGTACGCTGAATAATATATAAAAGAACGTTTCTGCCCATCAACTCTCAAGATTCAGCTAAAGACAAGGAGTAACTGCAAATTTATACGGATAAAAATAAAATGATAGTGGTCAAAGAAATAAAATGTTAAAGTGCTTTCCAGCAACAAACTCAGTAGAACAAACACCAAAAATCTGCGCACATCAGAAGGCAACGCTCCAATAGGCTTAAAACTATTTACCTCAAGTTGATCTAGATCCTCCTTAGCTCGTGTCACTTGTTGCTGTACTTGCGTTAGTTTATGCTTTTCAGCTAGAAACTCCCCCTGCAGAGATGCCCTTTCTCTGTCCCACGACTGGAACTGCTTGTTTCTCTTCACCTCCCTGTTGGAGACTTGCTGACAACTGGCGGCTGATTCTGCAGCATGTAACTTTGCAGCCTCCACGTCATACCTTAATTTGACATTTTCACCCCGAAGCTTTTGCACTGATGCATTCGTCCTATTAACCTGATGACCAGCTTTTATCAATGCATTCTCTAGTTCTGCAAGTCTTTTCAAAGAGCTTTCTTCCAAAGATTTCCTCTCCTTCCTGAGACGAATCACCTCCTCCTTCTCACGTCTCAAGCTTTGTAGCTCAGCCTTGTCTTTGTTCAGTCTATGAGCGGTCTGCATTACCCTCTGTTGTGCCCACTCAGTCCATTCCTGCAGCTGTGCTTGCAATGCTCTGGCACGTGAAACAAACTTCAGCAATGTCTCATCCCTCTTGTCCTCCGGAACCCACTGTTCACATCTTTTATCTGATGGTACTCCATGGAAACTACTGCAGCTTTCAGCCTCAGAACAAGAGTTCAATTTATGATTAACACCGTCGCTCCTCGTAGGAGTTAATGATAAAGAAAGTTCAGTATTGAATGTAGATAACGAAGATGGGCTTTTCAATGAATTCGGCCCGGAAGAACTTCCAGATATCCTAGTACTGAAACAAAGGTTTGAACTATTATCTGCTCGACTAACATCCCGGCCAACACCTTCACTCAACTTCATTGAGGTATTATTCAAACTTGCACCATTGGAAGCAGAAACTGTTGTACCTTTTCTGTCAAAAACAAAATTACCTTGGGTACCGAGTTTCGTTGTTCTCAAACTACCTTTACTTCCATACCCCCGATAGCTCTTCTCAAAGTGAATTGGCTTCTGACGAAGGATGGATTCTCTCTTAGAAGTTCCTCCATGCCCCTTTTTACCAACCACACACTTTTCTTTTGATGGAACTGGTTGTGATTCAGACGAAGTGTTCGATTCCTCTGCAGAGGGATCAGAGGACGCAAACACTTTTCCTTGTCCCGACTTAGGAGCGAATCTGATACCCTGAACGTTCCTTGATGCAGAGAACCTACCAGCTGGCAAATTTGGGATGCCACTCACAGTTGGCAATTCAGCCTGAGGGACATGTTGAGGAGAAGACAACACAGGGTTGGTTTTCTCGGGCTCTGAGGTACTAAAGTCAGCCACACTCAAGCCGGCAGCACTGGAAACATTTGCATCTGGTTTTGACTGGATGTCAGATCGATCATCTCTCGAATCATCACTGCAGAAGCTGTTTAAAGGATCGTTTTCAATTTCGCATGCATGTGAAACATTGATATCACATAATAGAAGACACCACATTGCATTTCCTATGCTGAGGAAAGGACGGACCTCCATAAGAACACAAATCATTTCAGCCAAAACATACTTCTGCAATTGTTGCAAATCTTCAAAGCAATACTCACCAGAAGAGGGTTGCCCCCCTGGCTCATTCTTTAGGAGTTTCAATGTATTATCCACAATATTTGAAACTGTATCCTTGTCACCATAATATAGGCCTGTCCTCATGATAGCTTTAGTGGCAACCTCCTTGGTAAATCCATGGGAAACAATTTTCCTAATCGCAGTCTTAAAAATGCTGTCCAAATGTTTTAAAAGAAGGTTCTCCAGTTTGGCCTCTGCTGGTCCATCCCAATCTACTTCTTGGAGTTCTTCCATACCCATTTCCTCCCGCGGATGACCCACAGCAATGTTGCACAAGTCGCACAACCTGGGATGATTTTCAAGATTAGACTTTCCTGAAGGCTTCTCTGGTGGCAATTCATAAGTTATATGATCAATTTGTGGTCCAACAAGTTTGTGAAGGTCAGGCAGAGGTGAATCAGCTCGAAATTTTCTCTTGTTTCTACTCCCCTTCTCTTGGACAGATAGAGAGGATGAGAGAGGAGTACTGCCTATTGCAACAGCAGCCGCCATTCTTCAATGTGATCCCAAAGCGAGATCTATAATGAGAATCATGAACAGATTGATTATCAGAATCCCATTTGCGGATCATTCAAAACATAAATGGCATAAAACTTGTAAGAAAAGAGATAAAATGCGTCAGCAGAAAAAGGAAGAATCGACCATAATAAATACGATGTCGCATGTAGGTGTAGCCCCTATGACTACAAGTACGGCATGCTCACTACAAGAGAACAGAAAGCATTCGGACCTTCTGGATGAGGAAATGGAGGCACAAGCATCGATTTCCAGCAATGTAATGGAAAGTTAGATCAGGAAAAGAAAAAAATGAATTCAAATAAGCGGAGAAAACGATAATCCGAGCAAAATACAGCCGACGCAATATTCCTTGATAGAAAAGAGGGGAGCCTAAATAAACGGACGACCGTCATACAACAACAAAAAAATCCGAAAAAATCCCCGGCTGATAAGCGGCCAATCGTACCGAAAAAGAGAGAAATCTCGACCTAGGCCGGCTATCCATCGGTCAAGGAAGATTGAACACAAGACGATATGAAATCCAGCAACATCCTGAAATTCTTCAGGACGACGGAGAAAGCTGAGGAGTTTCCCCGTGAATGGAGAATTCGTCGATCGTCGCTCACCGGTTGCAGCTCTCTCAGTCCGTCCAGCGGAAGAACAGTTCCCAGTCTCCGATCATCCGATGATGAATAAATGGAGATCGGTAATTTCTGCTGCGCAGGCAGACAGCGCCTCCCTCTTCAACTCCGCCTTCCACTATCTATTTATAGAGGAAGAGAGAGAGAAGGGCGGGGGGTGATTCTGCAAATTTTTGGCCAGTACGTATCAATAGCACCGTAGTATGCGTATAGACGAGGACCACCTCTAGATTAGAATATGAGAGAGCTTTTTAACATTCTTTGATTGGGTAAAGGAAGAATTAATGCATGCTGAAGTATACGGGAGAAATTCTCCGATTGCATTAGAACGTGTCCCTTGAGACCAGATCTGGCCCGCCCGTCTGTAATTTTCTCGGGCCGGAACTACATCGGGCCTCAAAGAAAAGCCCGAGAAAAGGATCCGGGTCAAAAATGTAGGGCCTGAACGGCCCGGCCCCGCCAGACTAGTCTCGCGTCTGGCCTCTCCTCTACCGCCCACCACAGAAGGCGGGCCGGGTGTAGCCGGGCTTCTGGGCTTAATCCCGTCAAATCTTCGAGTCTTCTTATGAGGTCACCCGGCCCGCCTTCCGGTCATTGAAGTGTCCTCCCCAAACTCGTCCGTAAGTCACTGGCTGACCGCCACCTGCCCGTAATTTCGTGCAGGCCTCTCCTGATTTCACTCTGTCCCGGATTAATGGGCCCATATACGGAAAGCAAGGCCCATTGTGAAGAGAAGGCCCAAGCCCATGTCCAATGGGCCCTGCATCGGTTCCTCGAATCTGTTTGGATCTGCGATGGGGGAAATCCAACACTGGCTTGAAGCCACATACAAATATCACTAACGTCAAAATAAATAATTTTACAAGAAAATATTTTCATACGCGTAAAAATCCCCGTTATTATTATCTAAAAATATGAATGAATGAATGAATGAATTAATTCGCATCATTTTTAAAAAATATTATAAACACAATAATACGTACACAGAGGTTATATTTGAAAAAAAATACTTTATTTGTTAGTCTTCGAGTAAAATGTCCGGGGGAAGTGAGATAGGATAGCGATGAGAACAGACCGGTACAAAGAAGTCATGAGATAAATTTCAAAGTGCACTGAAAATGTGCGCATCAGTAAGATATTCTCTGCTCACATAATGTTGTGTTTTATAGATCTCATGTGCCTCAATTCTCTTTCCTCGTCGAACGTATGGATCTTCACACGAAAACATGTAGGGAATCGATGACGTGGCTCCGTAAGCATTTGAACGTACTGTATCCGTGTAAACCGGTTTGTACAAAAATCAGATAGCCACATCATCAGCGTGTTCCGCCATTTCCTGGTCACTCGCATCGGCCTCTCCGCCTCCTCCCCCTCATCCTCCTTCCTGCCCAAGACCTCGTCTTTATCGATCACAGAAGGCTCCGATCTCTTCCCCTTCACGAAGCACCTCGAATCCTCCGAAATGGCGGCGGCTGCGGCGTCAATCATGTTGAAAGCGGGCTCCCCTATTCCAGCCTCCACCGCCGCCAACTCCGGCATGGCCCGTCCCATTGCTCCCGGCGGCCTCCGGTTCGGTTCCTCCAAGCCAGGTTTGCGCTACGGCTTCCTCCGATCTTTTTCGGTAATTCAGAGTTATTTCTTGCGCCTGATTGGGGTACTGGGTTCTGATCTGGTCTTCTCCCTTCTCGTTGGTTTTCTTTCTTCTGTTAATGGCGATGTTCGCAGTAGAAGGATACTGTTTTTCTGAGAAATGACTTTGTGCGTGTGGATGCAGGGAGGAGCGGATGCATGCTGGCGGCCAGATCCGACGGTATGTTGACTTCTGGGACCAACCAGAAAAGGCCACGAACTGGCGCAGTGCTAAGTCCACACGCAGTTGCGGTTAGACTCAGAAATTTTGTCTCCTGTGAATTTTCTCTCTCATTCTATTTCGGTACTTTGGGATCTTTTCCAGTAATCCTTCACTTAGTCTTCCCTAAACTCGGAGATTCATCTTACTGCAGGCAAATGCAGAGTCGACTGCTACTTCTGGGGCATCTAAAGCAGGGTAAGCTATCTGCTTCACCATTTTGGGTTTTCACCTAATCGTGATGAAATTTTGCTGCCCAATTAATTCTGTATTTTTTTAACGCAAATTCTAAAATGTGATTATTCCTGAGACTGCTAACAATCGATATATAGTTTCCTCGCGAGTTAAGATGTTTAAATGTTCTAAACGTGTTGTGTAGATCCCCAACTTGTCAAGTAGCTCTTCTGGTTTTAAACTTATGGCACAGCCGTTGTTAGAGATAAAGGATGCAGGCCAGGTTGCTTCATGATTTTCATTTGAGTTACTATTATATAAAAAATTGAAGCAGCTCAATATATCTGGGAAATTAAACAGTGGATACCACGAACATCGATTTCAGACTTCTTGCTGAAATTCTGCTGGCATTTCGGTAGTTGTTGGGTGAGTTTGACAGATATCAATAGTCGCTAATAGGACCATTCCATAATTAGCAGACTAATTAGCCGACTATCTATGTAGGATCTTGCGGTTATTATGTGTTTGGGGCAATTGTCCAAAAATTATATACCCAAGTCAATGCACTCCATCGTTACTATAGTTATGAAATTTAGGAAACCACATCTTGGAGAGT